ACCTGAAAATCGTGTTTGTTTCTTTTATGACAAATTGAATGAATATACGAAAATTTCGACATTTATTTATACAACATATAAAGACAAGACAAATATAATTAAAATATAATTTTGATGATCAAATACTCAATATAAGTATATGGTACATGCAGTTAAATTTAAATTTAAATTAAATTTAAAATAAATTTCGTTTTTCTTTTCAAAGTCGTCATTTTACAGTAATGTCTTGACTCTCGGTGGTTCAATTAAACTGAATTTTAGATAGAAAATTTCCGTAAGCTTGTCATTATCGTGTGAACCACTGACAAAATCGTGAAAATATTTAATTTTGAAATATTAATTTTTTTACTATATAAAAGAACTGAAAATTTAATAATATTCCATTAAGATATTTGTAATTTTGTTAACTTTTACTCAATTTCTATTATAGTAGTTCACACGATAACGACAAGCTTACAGAAATGTTCTGCCTAAAATTCAGCTGAATTGAACCATCGAGAGTCAAGATATTACTGCGAAATGACCATCTTGAAAAGAAAAACGAAATATATTTTAACTGCATGTATCATACACTTATACTGAGTATTTGATTATCAAAATTATATTTTTCTTTTCTTTATATGTTGTATAAATACAGGTCAAAATAACACTTTCGCATATTCAGTCAGTTTGTCATAAAAAATTGTGAAAGAGAACAAGCACGATTTTCAGACAATCTGACTCTCCAGCCCCCAAGAATTAGTCCGATTAATTCGTACGCGATAACCTGTACGTAACGTTGTCGCGGCGGAGTCCCGTCGCGATGTGATCCACGCGGAATCCAATTTGTCTCGGACACATTGGACTTGGTTGGTGCCTCTGAACACGTCTCTACATGCAGGTGCGCATACAATGTATGCACACGTATGCGCATACAATGTATGCACACGTATGCACACGATACACAACCGGGCTATGTAATTCGACCCAACCGTCGCCGGACATAGTCGCCAGCTGTTGGCCGCGTGCTGTTGGTAACCCAGCCGAAGAACTTGGTGTTCAAGCTCGACTTCGTCTGGTCGGTAACAAACTCGAGTCCTCCCGCAAGTGGCGGTTCTCCGTGGGACTGTTGGCAACTAAAGAGTTGCCAACACGAGACTTGTTTGTTCCCCTCTTCCCACCCACGAGCCCGCAGCGATACATGTTTCGCGCTCTCCTCATGTCGTCTGTGCAGAACTCAATTAAACGCGATCATACGGGGACATGAGTGAAGGGACGTTCGATACGAACGCGTCAGAGGCGAAATTAATCCCCGTTTCGGAAGACAACATCAGAATTTCCATCGCGTTTCCATCTCGTTTAACAGTTTCAGATGTGTATCTGCTTATTCGTTTTTTGTTTTTAGAAATTTAATTCATAAACTTAATTGATAATCTAACTTGAATTTCTCACGGACCCTGACGGTATACTGAAAGTTAATTGAGAGCGTAACAAGATTTCGCAAAAGTTCGTGGAATTGTCCGATTTCTTTTATAATTGGTAACTATTTCTCTGTTCTGCCTTCCGCCGCATCCGTCAAGTAATTAATTCTTAAATTTATTAACAGATTTAGATTCAACTTTATCGTTTGCATCTTCGAATTCGTCGGCAGACTCTCTCTTCCGATTTTTCGCAAAACTGCAGGATGAATTTGATATTTTTTTTAAGGACAGCGTCTGTCATTAAAAAGTATCCCGTGTATTCACGGTGTTGCGGGCAGCGTCGGATTTACGTGACATTTGTATGATTGGCTCTTCGTTTTCATTTCCCTGGACGCTGCGTCGTGGTGATAAGCGACGCATGTCACGGCGGGCCGCATCAGTGTGCATGCACAGTGCGACTGTTCGATTTCAAGCTTACTTTGTGTACCGACATAATGTAACACAACATCCTCCATGCACGCTTCACACACGACGGATCTGGACGGCAGGAAGCCGCTGCTTAAATTTAATGTTCAATAGACCGTGCGGCTGGACCCCCGAACCCGAGCATTTTAATGTCTCGTTTTAATAGGGATGCGGCCGAAATGCATTTCAGACCAGATCGAGACGCGTCGACCTCTCGGGACCATTTAATTGCTAATTTCATCATCGCGCGGTTTGTCGGATGAGTCGCCTAATTCCTCACGTCTCTCATAAATTTCTCATTTAAAGCGATCTAAATTTTCTTTTATACATTTACTAATTAATTTGATTGATGTATCATCGCTATAATAACTCGGCAATAAGCCACAGATTAGCTACACTGATTATTTTGCGGTCTAATATTAGGCTTTACCGTACAATATAAATAGTTTAGCAATTCACCGAAAAAGAATATAATTTCATTCTTAGCAGAATCTTCTAAAGGATTTTACTTTTATTTCCTCTTAAAAAGATTCTCCGGAAATCAGAGGGAAAATATTCTAAAAGTTGGAGGGATTTCATCTTTTACCTACGATTCATGTCTTGCTTGTGTCACGTCTCTTGTGTCGCGCACAAAAAGACATTCTGCTTCAAGTAAATATATCTCTCTCGATTTAAAAGGAAAAAAGTTAGAATAATAGACCTAATAGATTTTTTATTAATACTTTCCTTCTCTGTTCGTTAAAAGATGTGTATTCCTTCGGGTTTTGCTTAGAATATTCGGTTCGGTTCCTGCTTAGACTGCAGGAAACGGTATCTTGCAATTAGAATTCTTTTTTTCGTTGAGCGTTACTTCATTGAACGTTCAATTAATCATTCGGAGTGAAAGGAAGCAACAAGTTCAAATAAACATATCTCTCTTGATTTAAATGGAAAAAAGTTAGAATAATAGACCTAATAGATTTTTTATTAATACTCTCCTTCTCTGTTCGTTAAAAGATATGTATTCCTTCGGGTTTTGCTTAGAATATTCGGTTCGGTTCCTGCTTAGACTGCAGGAAACGGCATCTTGCAATTGGAGTTCTTCTTTTCGTTGAGCGTTACTTCATTGAACGTTCAATTAATCATTCGGAGTGAGTGGAAGCAACGAGTGCCTCAAACACGATTGTTACGGCGTCAATTGTGACAATTAAAGCCGGCCAATGAAGACGTGAAATTCGATTGAATTCGACAAAAAAGCAAAACCGGGCGACCGAAGCGTGGCGTTTTATAGGCGCGGCGAGGAAGAAGCGCGCGGGGCGATCGACTCTACCTGTCGAAGAGGCACGGTGCCTCGCATTTCCGCGGCGCGGTCGTCCACGTGTGTAGGAAAGGCTCGACTTCCGAGTACACTGTAAATAAATATGGGCTGGTACCGCGTGGTCACGCACCGAGAGACCCGGAGTCGCATATCGTGAATGCTAGATGAGCTCAGTGTTACATATCCCATAGACAAGAGATCCCCACGTCGACGGTGACGGTCGATCGAGCCTCGCTCGCTTCGACGTGCGTTCTCGCCGTTGAATTCTCGCGGAACACCGTATGTATAATATCCGCGATTTCTCGCGATTTCCTTCGGACTTGATTGTCTTGCGGATGCGTCTGTGCAATTCACGTTGACGCTGCTTGAGGCCCGGGAAAGCCGGCCGCGAAAATTCGCACGCCACCGCCCTATCGTTAACGAGGCCCCGTTAATGCCACCTCATTATCGTCCACGCGCGTAATCGACGACTCGATTCGTTCGCCGCGACGACGTCAGTTCACCCTCGACCATCGGCGCGCACGGGGCCTGCTCGCGATTCCGCTCGCGGCTTTAGGCATTATTTCTCATCCCGAAATAGCTTGTGAATTATTTGCCGCGCGGCCATCCGGCGGTGATACCACCGCCGCCAACGCCGCGTATCGATTCTTCGAGTGACATTCGTGCGCGGGCGGTGCCGCGAGAACCCAGAGACGTTCGCGACATTAACCTTCACGAGGCCGCCTCGGCAACAATCGGAAGTAGTTTATGGTTTCGAGCAAACAGAGACTCGACGCGGTTCTTCTATTCTGAACATTTTCTCACATTGAAATTTATGTAAATTTGTCAAATCTTTTTACATGTAAATACACATCCAAAACGTATCATTTTGGTTTTAGCGGAATTCTCTTATATACATGATCTTAAAAGAATTATAAAATTAAGAAAGAAGCATTCTAATAAGAATTGTTAGGAAAAAGAAAGGAACTCTAGTTGCAAGATGTTACTTCCTGCAGTCTATTCTATGCGAAAACTTTCACCGAAATTTCTCTTCTGTTGAAGTGAACTATATTAATTAGAAATCTACTAGATATTATTCTTCGTTTATTTTGGATCATGAGAAATATTTGGAAGAAGAATGCGCTTTTACTCGAAGAGATTTCTATCAAGAACAAGACTTGTATTATAGATAAAAAATGAAATTTCTCTAACTAGAAGAATATTGCACTTGGAATACTTTCCTCTTGGGTTTCAAAGGAATTCACTTGAAACCACATATAAGGGGATCCCGCTAAAAACACACGGGGAGAATTTTATCGTGAAAATTACTACAGGATTTTATAACCGAGAACTAGATCGAGAACCAAGAATTCACTCCCAAAGGCCGCATATTTTTGTAGCCGAAATTTCCACGTCGGAGATTGTTGCTGTCCGACGTGATTTCCACTTAATCCTACTGCAATTTGTGGCAGTGTAATTTACGCAACCTTGACGGCCGATTCTTTTTATTTTTCTTTTTAATGTAGTTAATTAAGCGCAATTCGCCCGATCTATCGCCCGGTCTGCTCAATTATCCGGATAACTCGTCGGATAATCCTCTCCTTCCTGCGAGCTCACGGGCTCGGTGATTTTTCAATGGGACGCGGTAGCGGCGTATCGGACGCAGCGGTATTTCTTTCTGGCCGAATAATTCCGCGTGCGTCTGCCATCGAGCCGGACGGTCTCGTAACCGATAGCGCATAACGCACGGGCTCATCGAGGCGAGCCGAGAAATTGTTTGTGTGCCGAGGTGGGGGCCGTCGGTCTGAAATGACTCCTCGGGCGTCATAATACATGCGTTTATGAAACGCTGCTAGGCGAACATTGTGTGTCAGTCGACGATACCGGATCCGGCCGCGACGCCGACGCCTGGCCCGCGCGTCGCCGATTTTCCCCGACGACGATGTCGCGCGACGCGGCGCGAATTCGCGAACCGTACCGCGACGTTAATTGTCGTCCGTCCCAGTTTCGCCTTATTAACCTTCCGCCTCCCCCTCCCCATGCCCCTCTCCCTTCCATCCTCGTGTCGCGCAATTTGCAACCGGTGTGCCCGGCAGTTTTTCAAGTCGCACGTGCGACCGAGCACGCGCGAGCTGATTTCGCGAAACCGAGGAAGTTCAAGACTTCGCGGGAGAAGTCTTCATTCTCATCTGCCATACTTTCAGCGCGATTCTTTCCTAGAGTGATGCCTTCGTAGAACGCGGAGAATATTGCATATCGCGAATTATTTATCGATGGAGAGAGAGCTACCGGGTGTGATCTACGAATACATTTGGATGATGAAAACTTTTATGTGCCTAGTCGAGACGCGAGTGTTGTTTTGTGGGACAAGTTGTACCGTACTGGATTAACTGTTGGTGAACTTGTCCGCGGACGTTATTGGCGAAGAGCATAAGTCAAACAAGCCGAGGGAGAGAGTGCGTTTATTCTTGGAGGAGCGCCCGCCGCATGGGTGAGGATATGTTCCCGAGGGATAATCGCCGATCGCGCGAGTCTTCGAAGACCGCGCAAAAGAGACCACGCGGACGCGCCTTTCGGCCCTAAAAGCCTCTCAACGCTTTTTTAAGATCGCAGCCGAGCGGCTCAGCGAGAATTCGGCGAATTTTCGCCGCGTTGCGGCGCGAGGCGAGCATCGCCAGACTAAACCTGGACGTTCCCGAGGAAGCTCCGCGGCGAATCGATCGCGAGTGGATTGCCCGGCTTGTCCTTGGATTCGGCAATATTTCGCAAAGGTCTGTCGCTAGCGAGTCGATTAGGAGGACGAATGGCATGTCGTCGCATGAAACGCGTGTTGGGGAATTGTCGCCGATGACGGAGTAACGCGTCGCATAGAAGCCAAGTTTCTCGTCAACTTCAAAGCTACGAATTCAATATGGACTGGCTTTCCCTCTGCGTCTGTGGCACAAAGAGCAAGCTCGATGACCAGAAGAAGGTCAAGAAAGACGGGAATCGCAAGCGCGAGAGCAATAAAAAGGGGAAGAAATGGAAGAAGCTTTCCAAACGTAAAGGACAACAACAACAAACAGAACAACCGCCGTCGTCGCTCTCCATCGATGAGTCTTCGCACAAATTGCAGGACGAGCAGCAGCAGCAGCATCAGTTTGAAAAGAAGATTGTAGAGAAGATTTTAGTGAACGGAGGAGCCGTTAATTGCTCGGACCTCGCGAAAAGTCACATCGATGCGAATCTTCGAGAGGATACGACAAAGATTGACGATTCGCCGAGTGACATTTGGCGAATCGACTATCGCGAGGATCTTGAGGAGGACTCGCTCCACGAGGACTTGGCAACGAGCACAGGCGAGCCCGGGCTGACGGAGACACGTAGTATCGATTACGACAACGACGCGGTGCTGCATTCGAGATGTGCATCGATGTGCACGGCCGACCAGGACGAGAAGCGGGTCAAGTGCGCTCCGGACGAGAAAGGACGCGACGAGGAGGTGGAGGAGGAGGAAGAGGAAGCGGAGGAGGACGCGGACGAGTCCGCCGCGAGATCGGCGATCTGCGGCGAGTTTGAGGATTCGTCCTGGACATCAGAGGTCGAGGACAAGTCGGAAGCGACCGGCCAGAGCTTCAGCAGGAAGCACGCGGAGAGAACTTCGTCGAGGATCAATTTTTCCAAAGAGAAGCAAAAGAGGTCCAAGAAGACGAGAGCAAAGGAGTTCGAGAAGGTTTTGCCGCCGATCAAAAAAAAGTCCTACGCTGAGTCGCGCAACTCGTGCATAGATAAGAAGATCGGAGGATCCGGTAAATCCGAGGAGACGAGTAAATCCGGCTCCGAGGAAGCCGCGGCGCTGTTTCGTGAGCGGAGCGATATTCAGCGGAAATTGAACGCGTGCAGTTTCGAGGTCCGATCTCTGATGGATGAGGAGCGAATTGGGAAAGGAAGGACTCGGCTCGAGGGATCCTTGATACCCAGACTCGCGTCTCCCTTGCGCCAAGGGGCGAATTTTATCAAGAGCGACAGCGACAAGTCGGAAATTGCGCAGAACGGTACATCACCGCCGAGTCTTTTAATTCAAGGATCGGTCCGTTAATTTTCTAGAGATCTCAGATTAGTATCATAACTATTTTTGTCGAAGACATATATCAGGCAATTGAGGACAAAAATAAGGAAATTCCGTAAGATTGGCTCTATGTATAACAAACGAAATGCACAAAAATAGCCAATAAGGGCCTAACAACCGGTCTCTTGTGACTATATAAATTTATTGTTGTATAAATTTATTAGTGGAAAAAAATTAGATTATGAATCGAGTGATTTTCCTTTTTTGAAAAAAGACGTAAAACGTCAAATTCAATTCAATGAAGAGGAAGAAAAGTTCCATAAATAGGATATTAGCCACTGATGAGTTAAATAATCATTTTTTTATGTTCGAACGTTCATTTGTATTAATTCATAAAGATGTGCTTGGATAAAAGTTTATTTTTTTTATCTCCGCGTTTGCTCTCTCTCTCTCTCTCTCTCTCTCTCTCAGAGATTGATTTCCTACATATTTATATTATAATATGTATAAATTTATACATATTGAAAGGTCAAATTCCATTTTAATTTAAAGCAATGCACGCACGCTCGCCGGAGTAATCATTATATCCGTGTTATTACCGCAATCCTTATACATTACGACGTACAATTTTTGTTTCAGGCCGCGTTCACTCGGCAGTCGTCTCCGGTGTCAATTTAGAGCAGCGCACCGTAACAGTAGAATGGTTCGAGAGGGGAGAAACCAAAGGCAAAGAGGTAAGTACGCTGGCAAATTGCGCAGTTGCATAGCTTGGAAAATTTACGTTTACATCTCTGCACTCAACGGGAAATGACGGTAGGGAATTTCAGCGGAGATAAGTCAGAAGTAAATTTTTTAATCGCACCAAACTCCATCTTGCTGCAAGTCTGCGAAAAGCGCACAGACAAACCGACAAGGCGCGGTTAATCCACGAAGTGTATTCTCTAAATATTTGACAGTGAGATCTCACTCGTAGCGCAAGCGAAAATATCATCACTCGGCATCGCCAGAGTGAGTTTTTAACTCGAACTATTCGAGCCGTAGATATAATCGGAAAAAAATGAGGCTAAAAATACCAGAATATAATTTTATATCAATCACAAGCGATTCTCTTCAACAAAAGATAAGTATGCCACAAAAGCGACATTGGCCGCTGACGAATCGAATAATAAATGTTTAATTAATCGCATCTCGCTCATATTGAAATTTTAATTTATATGAGTGAATATTTCAAGTGATCAGAAAGAATTTGTCGTTGCAGCGGAGCGAAGCACGTCAGATTTATTCTTTACTTTAGCATGAAAATTCACTCGATCATTCGAAATGGAGTATTCGCTTTGCATGAGTGCAAACTCGTTCAGATTTGAGTAACTCGGCTGTCACTCCACTTTTCAAGCGGAATTTCGCTCAAAATGATTTAGAGAGTACCGACCGCCCTTTTATTCGTATGAACAGCGCGTCGCGCACAATCATCATTTATCGACGCGAGACGCCATCGCCGCGTCGCACCGCAATATTTCAATTCCGTAGGTCACGGTTATTTGGCTATTTTCAATTCGGAGCTTATGCAATGCCACGGGGCGAACATGCAGCCCCGCTAATGGGAGCGCGTGAGTCTATTTCCGACAGCCTGCTTGAAAGTCAGGCTTCACCGTCACTCAAGCCGGTTTGTTCGCCGAGCCTGGCTTTCGCAAAAAAGTAACGTAACGCGACACGCCACGGGGTGATAAGGTTCGTGAAAAAACCGGCGTTTTCGTTGCGTGCAAGCCGCATGAGCGATAATTGTACGTCTCTCTTTAACGCGGCAAATCGCGCGGAATACGCAAGTCTCGGCCGTTGCGACTTCGTGCCGGAAAGGAGGTGTCGAACGCGTATTGCGCCGGGAAAAAGAATATATATCCGGGGTGATCATCTTCCGGTGTACTTAATTTTAGCGAGTTTCCCGTGGCATTAGCGGGATTTTCGCGGGACCTGACCCGTCTCTTCGCAACTCTCCGCGTAATCGCAGCGCGACACACGTTAATTTGCGAGAAAATGTTCCAGCAGAGTCTCATTCCACGTCGCAAGGTAATCGCCGTTATCCTCCTGAGAAAATCCCCGCCAACGAGACCGCGAACTGCGTCTCGCCCTTTGCTTTGCGCGCAGCGCAATGTGAATTATCTACGAGATGGAGAGATCGACAGTCTAAATATTTGAGTTTGCACGCTTTGCTTCAGGTGGAGATCGACGCGATTCTCGCCCTGAATCGCGATCTGAGTCAGAAGATGATGGGGCCGCCATCGCAGATGAACAACCACATGTTGGCGTCTTCGAAAGCGAGGGTACGTACAGTCATATTGATCCCTGACAAAATATACACCGGCGTCGAGTGACGCGTTTTGAGTCATTTCCAAGTTATCAATTCGCAGCGCTGACTGTCGACCGGAAGACGCGAGACCAGCCGCGTGTTCTCTTTTTTTCTTTCACTTATTTATTTATATGTTTGTCAATAAACGAATCAGTCCTTTTTCAAAACAAGGTCAAAAAGAACAAAAATAATACCTTCTCTTTTCGTTTATTTTAAATCACGAGAAATTTTTAAAGACGGAGTGCGCCGCCAAAAATAAGCATTAAAGAATCAACTGCAGTTCCAGCTTCGATTAAAATTCATATCGAGACTGTGATAGTCGGAAATTGTCTTACATCTACATGAAACAAGAATTTGATTGGATTCACCAAATATCCAGTGAGATATGAATGCGCCAGAAATTCCGGTTGGAGTTACCAAAATTCTGTTCGAGTTGATAAGATTTCCGATTATCTAGAACTTGCCACCGTTCAACTTAAACAGTTGCAAATTTCTGGTTAACAGTTGCGAATTCCGGAGATCTTATTTGATTAATCAGAAATCTTGTTAACTCGGACAGAATTCCTGGTAATTTCGACTTGTTTTTTGTAATTTTACTTCGTTCATACTTCGCCAAACATTTGGTTAATTTGACTTTTTCTGCATATTAAAATAATTCAGGCATTGCTGTTAGGCTGCCTAATTCGCGAGATTCTCAAACGTTGATTGCGCGTCTGTCATTCTACGAGGAAAGTTAAGTCTGCGCGAGACGAATTGTGTCCGTGTAAATTCTCGGTCGATCATCGACTGGCCGGCGAATTCTGTTTACCGGTTGCCCGGGCTACGTGGAATAACCTCGCTCCTAATATGGAAAGAATAATCGGATCCCGCGTCTCGTAACGTTTACACCGCGGTAGACATGTTCCAGTACCTGTACGTCTTTCAGGTAGGACTCTCGCCGTCACACTCGCGTAATCGGCTTCTCTCCGCAGGTATTTCAATTTAACGCGACGACGACGACACGTCATCATCCGATCGCGTCACGTCTCCGGCTTTTCTGACACGTGGCTCCTCGAAACAAACAATTGCACAGCCGCGAAATTTATTTGTCTCGTGCGTTTCCTTCTTTTGTCGTTGTCGCGACATTTTTACGAAGTTGCGCGGAGGGAGCTTTCGAGATAATTATTGGTTCTGTTCTGAAGGGACGGTCACGGTGTGTGTTAGATTACGCGCTTTATGCAACGTAGAGTGTCTCAGGAGCCCAGGTTCTTGAATTGTACGTGATCAAAAGTTGAAAGGTTGACTTCTAGTTATGCCGGCATCGACTATTGGAACATATCGCATAGGATAAATTTATTGCTATTAATTCACGAGAGAGATTAACTCACGTAGGATTAGCTTATGAAGGATTACGTTACGTAGGATTAATTTACGAGGGGCTAAGTGACGTAGGATTAATGCACGAAGATAATATCTTGGGCAGGATTATGAATTTATAAGGTCTAAATTGCCGAGAGAAGAATGTGCAGGCGTTCGTGTGAAATTATACGTATAGTAGCGCATATGTACAAAGAAAAGAAACTGTCAGGACTCGAGAGGCTAGCAGAATTCGAGTGATCCGGAGCGTCCCGGCGATCCCAAGGATCTAAGCGTCCCGGGAATAGCTTACGAAGCTCCTGAGGAATTCTTCTCGTAGAGACGCGTCGACGCCGACGAAAGCCACAAAAAAACACAGAATCTCGCGCATCATACCCGCTATTAACATGGTAACATCTTTTTTTCCCTCCATGGACGCTGCTCATAATCACGGACCTCGTGACCTCGTCGACGATGGACCACCGACCGCTCTCCCCCCGGCGACAAAAATCGGGTCGATAACAAACCGATCTCGAATACTCGACTCACACGTCGTCTCGGCCATCGCTCATCTCTCCGCAAAATTGCCGTCTTTCTTGACAACTCTCCCTCTCATCGATCCCCTCGCTCGCTCTGTCGATCGATCTGTTGTCGCGATTGACGTTTCGATTAATCTCGACCAATTATGGATACAATAATACGGATCAAATACCGGTTGCCAGGAGCGCGACTCCTCGGCTGAGGAGGACGAGGGGGTTGACGAGTCGGAGAACCAAGAGGAGGGCTCCCTCGGACGCCATGGCGGTCACACCGCAAGAAACGGCCTCGCATCCGCAACGCTTCCTGTACGAGTCACATCTCGTCTCTCGGTAACGCGCACCTCTTCCTACCCCTAGCCCTCCGGCCCCTCTCCCCATCACCGCAAACACTAAGAGCTAAGAGCGGACGAGCCACTTTGTGGCGCTACAGAGACGCGCCACAGACCTGTACAGACATGTACAGCGCCTCTGTGGCGCTTCTCTATGGCGTAAAAAATGGCTCGTCTGTGTTCGAGCCCTAAAACACACACAATCCTCGTAACAACGTAACGCAACATGACCACAACTCCTCCGTCACTATAGCCCGCCCGGTCGGCGCGAACTGACCTTAGCATCTTCGAGTAGCACTCGAGCGAGCTTTTATGACGCCGATTTTACGGGATCCCATCGCGAATTTTTATTGTACACCTAAATCAGGAGGTAGGACGTACAGGGGATGACCGGGGTACTCAATTTCTCGAGGAATCAACGTTCCAGCTGCGCGCGAGACCACTGCTGCTTCTTGCTCGGTCCGTCGGCAGCAGCGTGCGCGATGTATCTCGTTCTGGAGGGTTTCCTCTTGTAGGCGAGCAGTAAAAGAACAGCACGATCTAACTTCGTGTGACCTTTCGTGTGCCGTAAACACTCGACGTGTACGGGAAATGATATCGCCAAGATCCGGAGACGACTGGTCAAAAGATATTTTCAGAGAATGACTCGTACATTTCGGTATCTCGTCCCGCGGGATCATTAAAGCTGCCACGTGGCAGTTCCACCGGAAACTTCGATCTCGGATTCCTCCATCCTCGCATTACCGAGCGGAAGATGCTAAAAGAGGGTTCGCTGCTTCTTCGCACTTTTTCTCCACCACGAGCCTAAGCATCGGCTTGCCCGGAACGCCCGGCTACCGACACAGCACCGTCACTTATGCCTCTTTTCACTCCTTCCGCACTCGCTTTGATACGACGAGTACCTCGACTGTGCAGGCGGATGTCTCAGCGAGCGGTTAGCCGATAGTTGGAGCTAGAGTTCCTTGAATAAAAGTTAGACTACCGTCCGCCATTTATAAGGAGCAAGTGAGTGAATGAGAGAGAAGCCACAGCGTGTTTCGTTATTTCAGTCTCACGCCCGTATTTAATAGTTATGTACTTAAAAGTCATGTAAGTTCCTCAGATTTGAGTTCAGAGTTAGATGAGAGTTTTCCAGTTGAGTCGCGATTACAAATATAAATGTCACATATATCATCCACAGTTTCTGCTTTTCTACCAGCGCGACTTCTGATTAGTTTCTGCTTTTTTGCGTTTCTGTCAAGGTGTGTATTCTCCCTTAGAATTTCTCTCTCACTCCTATTCGCTTCTTCCCTATTAATGGCGAATAGCGACCGGGAATCAGGAATTATTACGCGGTGTCCTTTCACTTGAAGAACTCTAGCTGAAGCGGGTATCTTAGAATTCAAGCACTCGTGATGATGTCCCTTCCGATTTCGTTGGCGAAAAAACGAGACTGACATGCGGCTTCGCAGAGGTGAACTCTAGGTGAAAAATCGCGCGACGTTACTCGGAGACTATACTTGGGACTAGGTCGAAAACCGCGCTGGTTACGGTCGCGATCGATACTCTCGAGAACGTATGAGTGGTGTTCGGATTAACGCGAGAGGTCGATGAAAAACCGTCTTATCTCGCGCCCCCGGCGTGATGAAGGTGTCGGATCTCGCATGCGCGGCGATATCGTCGTCCCCCGGAAATGATGTATCATACACTCTCAGCTTCGAAAAAGGAAGCACCGTTTTATTTTCTCATTTACAGCACTCCTAGATGTAAGTCAGTAACACCCATCAGTACGATTGCACGAAGAAACACGATCATTTCCCAATCAAGCAACTGAACGTTGTCTGTTTTCTTTATTTTCAGCACTCCACCAGGCCGTCTATTCCGGTGAAAGGTATGTAACGACGAGAGAGACATCGTTGTTGGTATTTTACCTTCCTCTCTTCACTTATCTCGTCGCGCTTTGTTAAACAAACTCCAACGAGTCGATGTTATCGATGAGATCGACAAAAACGTCGTACCGGTCTTGTCTCTCCACTACACTCAGAGAAAAAGACATGGCATTTTATGTAGGTGAACAGTTTTGCGTATGCAATTATGCGTATGTAGAATTAATTAATTACCATCACCGTATCCTTTTTCTCTGAGTGTACTTCCATGCGAATCGCGAGAGAGAAACGCGCGTCGACGGCGAAATCTGTATTTTCGCGCTTTTGGAAGATTCCAGTCGAAGGACGAATCTCTCCAAAACGAAACGCCGTGATTACAATTTGCTGAAACGCGACTTAATAATGTTTCTCAGGTTAACACCCTTTACGGAGCGAGGCGAATCGCTCCTCGCGAAAATCGTGACGAGGCACAGGAGAAAATCGATAAACGTTGCCGTACGAGTTTCTGATTTCGCGGATAAGCCTGCGGATGACGTTGGAACGTCTCCGCGTTCAATAAGTCAATTTCGCGGACAGGGACGGTTGTGTGTCTGCGCCGTCGTCGTCATTTCACCTAGATAAACCAAGTTAACGACGCGGGCCTAGCTCCACGTGTGTGTGCACGGGTCGAACCGTGACTATCGATATTCGCGGCAGGCCGGCACAAGGGCAAGGACCCCGCCGGTAACCCTCCACCACGACGTGTATCGCTCGCGCGCGCGAAGTGGGTGCACTCCTCCGGCTTGACCCTCTCTCGGACACCGTTCGATCTGCCGCCGCTGCCACCACACACCCACCGGCAGTGTGTGGCTGGCAGTGTGTTACCCTCCCCGGCGAGACGCGGCGACGGAGTGAGTCGGGCTGCTCGCGGGCCCGCGACGACGGCGACGGGGCCGGCTGATCGGTTTTTAAGAAATTCAAGAGATTTCGTGTGTCCGCGATCGCGTGCTCGCCCGCCCACGGCGCCATGAGATTCGATCCGCTCGCCTATTGCTTCCGCAGGAAAAACAAAATCCGCGACTGCGAAAATACGGACGTCGCCGACAAGCGGGTCCTGACGCTTCGGATCGAAGACGATGACCCCGGTAACGCTCGTGTGTCAGGTCAATCTCTCGCTGAGATTCCTTTTCTTCCTTGGAATTTGTGTTGACGATCAAATATGCATTCTCGAGTGATCAATTTGCAACTCTTATGCGTGGCGCAAGAGAAACAAAGATAATATAAAGATTCGCGCACGACAGTGTTTAAATTTTGCAAAAATTGCCAGAGTTTTTCGTCTTATCGTGTGTATAGTCATTTATATTGATTGTCGAAAGAGAAATAGTTAAATTCGCGATACCGCGTATGGAGAAAGAGACTAAAAACTGAGCAGGATAAATCGCGAAATCAAAGATCAATTCGTGCGATTTAAACACCGGTTTCCGACCGCCAAGTCTAGGAAGGACACTGCAGTTGGCATTAATCTTCGTACTGGTGTTTCAGCGAGCTCGAATAGGCAATTGTCACGGCCGGTGGGCCGCCCGACAAACATTATGGCACCGGCCACCTCTGTGAACGGTCACGGTGAGTCGAATTCTGGATTGACAGGACGTCGGGAACTCGAGAATATACCGCCTACGCCGACGACAGCGGTCACGCAATACAACCTGGCGACCCCGCTGCAGAACAAGCAGAAGCAGACGACGCAGCAGCAGCAGCAGCAGCAGCAACAACAGTTGCAGCTGCAGCAGCAACAGCAACAACAACAGTTGCAGCAACAACAGCAGCAGCAAGCCCAGGTTGAGAATGGCCGAAGTAGGCGATCCAACGTCGTCAAAGAAGTCGAGAGACTGAAAAAGAACAGGGAAGAAAGGAGACAACGACAAGCGGAATTAAAGGAGGAGAAGGAGGCTCTGATGAATTTGGATCCGGGCAACCCGAATTGGGAATTCCTCGCTATGATAAGGTTCGCCCTGATCGCGTTTATTTCATGTGTTTTGGTCTTGAAATATACTCAGAGAAAAATCATGGAAACTATATATAGGTGACAACTGAGTTTGGTAGAATCAAGATACATAGTTTAGTAAATCATTTAGTAGATATGTAACTAATGCTAAACGATTAGGAGAACTACATAAAGTTTTAGTATTTTTCTCTGAATGTACAACGCCGAGAAATGCACTACTAGTCTAATATCGATACTACTGATAATAGACTAATACTAATATCGAAGTCTTGTAAAAGTTTGTCGGATCATTGATGATTTCATCGGCTGGACAGGTGAGTCATTTGGCAGAGGCGGAATTAGATTAATTATCTGAAGGTGTGTGGCAGAAAGTGGTGGGTGACGCGCCGATAGATATTTCAATTTAAATATAACATGTATCGTTTCGTTACTATTGATAAGAGAAACCTGGCCAAAAACCCGACAAATTTTTGCAAACTCCTTAGTCTATTATAATGTTTCTTTTTATTCACGATATCCTCACGTAAATTGCTTCGCGATCAACAGTTAAGAATCATATACTGATTATGTTGTTCGTTCATCGACATTTGTCCGCTTCACCCACGCAGAGAGTACCAGCATAGCATAGAATTCAGGCCGTTGCGGGAAACCGATGCTGTGGAAGATCACCAGATCACCGTGTGCGTTCGCAAACGTCCGCTAAACAAGAAGGAGCACGCACGCAAGGAGATCGACGTGATCAGCGTGCCCAGCAAGGATCAGATGGTGGTGCACGAGCCGAAAGCGAAGGTCGATCTCACCAAGTATCTCGAGAACCAAATCTTCAGATTCGACTACGCATTCGACGAGACGTGCAACAACGAGATAGTGTACAAGTACACGGCGAAGCCGCTGGTGCAGACTATCTTCGAGGGCGGTATGGCCACGTGCTTCGCGTATGGCCAGACCGGCAGCGGAAAGACTCATACCATGGGCGGCGACTTCAATGGCAAGACGCAGGACTGCAAGAAGGGCATTTACGCCATGGTTGCCAAAGACGTGTTCAAGTGCCTGAAACTGGCCAAGTATCGGCCCCTGAATCTGGTCATTTCCGCTAGCTTCTTTGAGATTTACTCTGGCAAGGTGTTCGATCTGCTCGCGGACAAGGAGAAGCTCAGAGTCCTTGAGGACGGCAAGCAGCAGGTTCGTTCGATGTAACGAGCATTAGAGTTTTGAAATATATTTTAGACTGCTACACTGGCAATTGACATCGATAATGATTGTGCGAAATTTAATTTAAATGTTTGATACATTTGCGTAAAGCGGATATATTTGTGTCAGTTGGTAATTATTCATGCTGGCGTACTCGAGTTAAAGATACGACTTAATGATAGATACGCTGCTTGTTACTTTGTCTTAATATTTCGAAATCTTTTTTGCGATGACCGATAGGTGCAAATAGTGGGTTTGACGGAGAAGGTAGTGGAGACTTGCGACGAGGTGTTGAAATTGATACAGCACGGCAACAGTGCCAGAACGAGCGGCCAGACGAGCGCCAATTCCAACTCCTCCAGATCGCACGCGGTATTCCAAATCATAGCGCGTGTCCCAGGCACACACAAGGTGCATGGCAAGTTCTCCCTCATTGATCTTGCTGGAAACGAGAGGGGTGCCGACACGTCCTCCGCTAACAGACAGACTCGTGAGTAAATGACTCTTCGGCCGAAACGATCGATCGTCCGAGTGTGCTTAATGAATGTCACGTAATCGATATCACCGTTTAAATTTGTAGGAATGGAAGGTGCTGAAATCAATAAGTCCTTATTAGCATTAAAAGAGTGTATACGCGCGTTAAGTCGCAAAGGGACGCATCTGCCTTTTAGGGCGAGCAAATTAACGCAGGTATTGAGGGACAGTTTCATCGGCGAGAAGTCAAAAACGTGCATGGTAGGCTGTCTTATTATTCGATAATAATTACGTTATTGTGACGTATACGAATGTATACGAGAGAAAGAGAAAAAAAGAGTTTGATTTAAATGAAACTTTTGCGTTTACAGATAGCGATGATTAGTCCCGGGATGAGTTCTTGCGAGCATTCTCTAAACACGTTGAGATATGCGGATCGGGTGAAGGAATTAGCGGCGACCGATCCTACGGAAATTAAAGCTTCGCCGACGGACGACGAGCGGGGCTTGAAGATCGAGGAGCAAGTGAACAACAGCGTGCTATCGGACAGCGATTTGGCGCAACTTCGGTCTCTCAATGTAAGCGATTGTGTGTGCAAATGCATGAATGCAAGGATTGTTAAAATATGATGGACGCAAAAACGATTGGTTATATCGGATTTTGTAGAAAGATAGACGGTCAAGGTGAATTGTTGACTGTTGCAACAGACGACCTTCTTTTTTTCGCAGGAAGGTGAACTTTCACAAGATCTCTACACCTTCCACGAGGCGGTGTCCGCTCTGCAGATGCTCGAGGAGGAGGTGTTGGATAGGCACAAACTCGTCATGGACAGCACGACTAAATTCCTCAACGATGCACACAGTGTGTTCAGTGCGACTCACGAGGTGGATTACGACCAAGAAGGTAAGACGAATTCGTCCTCCGTTTTTGCACGATTCTTTTTGTCTCTATATTGGCTTTCCGTTCCGTTATTTCGCTTTGATTTATCACACCACGCGTTGTGTGTCGGACGCACGCACCTCCCGTTGTTCAGTGACACTAATTAAGTGATCAAAAGTGGTAAAAGTAATTCGCAGGCGACGTTTGACGATAGAATGCATCCGAATCCTTCCCCAGCGACGATTCGTGTCGTCTCCGTACTCCTTTGAGACTGTCCTGTCCGGTAAACTTGTATAGTAGAGACTTGTATGAGTAGAGACTCCAAAAATAAGAAAAAAAAGAGCAGAAAAATAAAACAAAAAGTACGACACGCCCTGTACTTGCCCTGTATCACAGTGCATGGCATTTTATGACAGATTCGCGCGGTAAGACTAAGGCAAATTCGGTCTTCACGTTAAACCGCCACCGGAGAGGCAGCAGCACGTTAAACACGACGACAATGATAAACGACGACACGGACAGCGTATCGGACAGTGACGCACAGCAGCCGGTCTTAAATACAAACGTAACTATAATCGCGGAGAACACGTTGATGAAGTCCCCATGGAAGGACGAGATGGAGTCGAGAACCGACCTCAGTTCGTACGACACCGAGGAAGACGCGACCGTGATTCCTCGCACGCCGTTCGCCGGCAGGATCGATCTCACGAGGAGAAAGAGCGCGCCGTCCGTCGGTCGAAAGCAGGTGAACAGCCGAAGGAATTCACTTGTTGTCAAGACCACACCGACGTTAAATATGCTGACGAATTCCGCTCAAAGACCTAATCGCACACCACGGATCAAGTGGTCCAACGTTGGCAAAAAGAAACCAGAGAAGTATCACTGGTCGGGCACGTTTTGTACCAGGAGGACGATGAACCTGTCATCGAGAAACACGCACGGCATCAAGTCGCTCGATCTGTTGAGTTGCGAGAATAATTCGAACGAGAACGACTGGCTGTCGTCGAGCTACAATTACAATTGCGAGGACTTCGGTAAAAAGAGAAGCGCGAGCAAGGGTGACGATACTTTCCTCTCAAACGTGTTCGATCCGCCAGACAATGCGGAGAGCGAGCAAATCGACAATATCGGCTGCCAACCATGCATCGATATTTGCGGGGACGCGTTTGACGAGACCGACTTCAAAGACTACGACGTCCATCGCAATAACGGTTCATCATTGTTTGACGTTAATATAAGTTTGAGGCAAACAGTGACGGATAACGTGGACGAGGAGGATGTCGTGGATGCGCGTGACATTGACTTGTACATGAACCAACCGGTGTTGTCCACATTATACTCTCAGTTCTCCTCCACCGTCGACGGCAGTGACGGACAAGAACGCGATGATCCGCGCGGTGCGAGGAAATTCGTCGATTTAAAGATAAAGAGCAGATCGCGCAGCAGAGAAGTGACTGACGACGACACCAAGAAAAAGTCTGCTGTTCGATCGCGTTGTTATAAAATATGGTGCCTTCTATCGATCGTTTTGAAGAACGCTATCTTATTTTTACTGTTGCCAGTGACGTATATTATTTTTTTCTTTTATGTACAAGGAATAGAGAGTAAATAAAGCGGTGACGTAATGAGACTTTTCGCGAGACAGCAACCGTGTGTGACTCGATTCCAAGTTTAAATAGATGCAGAAGTTTAGAGGCAAAAGTTTGAAAGCGTTTAAAAACACGTTGAATGTGAAAAGATTTTAATTATACATATCTATTATTATTATTATTATTATTATTATATAGGTTTACAGTAAGGTAATGCAATTAAATTGTGGAAAATTTTATTGCGTGCCCTTCTTGTTGTAAATGTATCACACTAGTGTAAAACTGTTTGAAATGTTCGTACGTAATCTTAATAATTCTAATAAAAATACATTCCTTTTTGCGAGTCGAACATTAGTGTTCCTCAAGCTTGGCTGTATGCACGTTCGAAGTGTTCTCCCCGATACTAATTCTATGTGTGCTGTAGTGATGAATGTACACATATTTGATATATTCTGACTTCGCAATTGCAATTCCCCCCTCGCAAAACGTTAGCACTTCGTCGTGTATTCGAGAGTCGTGTTTTGTGTGAACAAATACCTCCAGACACCGTGTTACCGAGATATTATTATTTGCATAAACGTGTAACGTAGATATTTTTAATCGTATCTCTCTCTCACTATTATTTTATCAATATTATTAGCCTTTATGTAAGCGAACGGCTACACTCCTAGCCACGAATAGAACACACGTCTAATTATAGCGTAGCGAATAAAATTCCCCTTACATGCCTATAAATATTGATACACCTTTAAAAATCATAGTCTGCAATTGTACACTTGTAAGAGGGAATTCTGATGTAATGCTGAGAAAAAACCTTGCAGATTTGAGGCGGAAAAGAACAAAGTTTGAGTCACCCTACCTGAGGAGTTTCTCGTTGCGTAGACGTCTTATAGAGAGAAAGCTATTTTCCGACGGTACGAAAAACTATTCGTTTAACAATTCTATCAAATAGTCTCAGAGAAGCAGCTTATTTTAATTAATGTGCACCATACTACGTACTAATGATATGCGTCACATATATTTGCCGTCATCGATATCACATGCATTTCAGATCTCAGATATGTGTCCCCAAAAATAATATTTTTTAACGATCCAATATTCCGATACTCATTGATGTAACGCGAGAAAAGTAAACGTTCCTCTCGTACGTTCGGAAAGATTTTACGAGACGTCGAAATGATGCAATTATTAAGACTTTTGAAATACTTCTTTTTTTATCCGTTATCACAGAAAATATATATTCGAAGAAAGGTAGAGCTGTCGAACTTGATTCTGTGAAAGCCGCGTGTGAAAACGTGTCGATACAATTGTACAATCCGTCGGTGCAAATTCTATAAAGGCAGCGAAATTTTTGCAACAACGCGTTCTCTGATATCCCGGGAGGGTAAACTCAACATTTGTCTTTTCTTTCACGGCTGTTTACATGTCGTTATGTACACAATACAGTCCTGTTAAAGTATCTCGAAGAATAATTTTGTACATACACACGTCGTTGCGTGCCATAAGAAAAATTCAAACATACATGGTGTAATCGCTAATGCTGTACACAAGTACGATTCGTATGCATATCATCTCCGGAAGCGATCAGCGCGTCGTTTCATGTGTGTATGCAAACCGAGTCCTTGTTAATAAATGTTATTTTTGTGGATCCTAACACAGTATCTCACGCGTTCAGCATAATTACCACATGATAACCACATATATCCATAATTGGATTACCAGACAAGTCTGGCTTGTGCTCGGCTTAAGCTTCCATTTACCTAATAGCGTGTCTATAATCTCTAATTGTGTTCTCACACGTGTGATTCTCACAGCTTGGTTCCTCGGCTCCAAGCGCCTCGAGACGACTGCTGAAAACGTTCGCGGTTAAAAAACAGGAAAAAAATATTACACTAATACGCGAACGCCTCTCGAAATGTTTGGTATTAACTCGTGCAATTACTTTAATACGGGAGAAACTAGCGGTTTCGCTTGTGACTCTGGAAAACGTAGGTGAGAATAATTTAGATCCAAGTCGCTTCTTCTTCACCGTCGTGTTTCCAGCCAGCCTAACTTTAGATCATCGTTCGATTAACATTGTAATCTCTCCGGACTTCATTGTCATGCTAATAGTTCACAGATCAGGATCAGGACTTACTTGAATGTGTAAACCACATGGCAATGAATACCGGTTGATAGATGTGTATCTAGCCGCTAGTCGCGTTCTAAGGTGATGCTGTAAAGTACAAACACGCACGCGATATCGAATTGAAGCAGAGGTAACAGCTCTGGCGTTCGCTCGTGTCGTCTCGGCGTGTCCGATTTAATCCTTAACTATGCTAAGCCGATGTCTAATCATGCTCTTGGGTTGACGGGTGTGCGTGTTATCTGTTGCAGCGTATGCCCAAAAGTGGGAGCAACTGCTAATACAGCAGCGTGACACTTTGAACAACGCGCTCGACCAAGTGAGCCAGTTCCGCGGGCAGCTTTTGCAGGAGGAGCAAATCAGCCAGAAGATGACCCGAACGCGCAATATTACGCGGTACAATTAGAGGATGATGCTTTTTAAGACGAGCACGCGAAGGAAAGGGAAGAGAAAACAGTATAGAAAAGACACACGAAAAAAAAGTATAACGATTATCTCTCTCACCGGTGAGAAGGCCGCTTCTTCATACTTCTTCTTATTATGTATCGACCGTTGATCGCGAGAACGCGTGAGAGAAGCAGACGCATACACAACACACTAGTAGTGCGCCATATGCGACAGTCATACATTATATATATACACATATATATATATATATATATATATATATATATATATATATATATATAAAAGAAAGAGAGAGAGCACGGAATCTCTTGCCTTCTTCGAAATTGCTACGAGACTATATCGTCATCGACGAGAGATACGCTCTTTCTTGAAAGAGAAAGAGGAAAAACAAACGAGAACGGAAAGAGCTCGCCTCTCGCGCAACTCACCCTTAGCGCGATTCTGTACTATATATAACGATTTTACGTAATGAAATGGAATAAGATGAGAGAGAAAGAGAGATCGGATTTTCGCGAGGAGGTATAATACAGAAACTGGCGTATCTCTTGCGAATTTGTAATTATCTCACCGTTATCTCTCACGACGCGAATAAGCCGAAATGGCCGGGCATAACAAAATAATAAATTCGGGCATCCACCAGAGTGAAATCAAGTGTGAAGTCAAACGTATTGGAGTTTTTTCATATTTTTTTTTTAGTTTTCAAAACCGTAAAAAATTTTAAGTACATAGGTACGTCCGTGAAGATACAGCACACACATAACACGTACACACGCACACACACGCGAGCGCGCATTTTATTTAATTAGCAACAAAGTCTCAGAGTATTTTACATGTTTCATTACGGTTTTGTTACGGTTACATGTTTCTCAAGCGACTTCTCGCGCGTTTTACCACTCATCTCGGGCCGCGTTCCGAGACAACCGCGGAAATTTTAAAGCGTCAAACACACAATGCGTCGATACGTAATCCCGTGTGTACCATTTGTTCGTCTTCGAGATGTAGACTATCACCATCACAGATGATGATGCGTCAAGCTAAGAAATCAGATTAACATTCGTTTTTTTAGGCTATATAGACCGCTAGATGTATTATTACGAGGGACCCAGTGTGTACGATTGGATGAGAGAAACAGAAAAAAGCCTTAGTAGCCGATTTACCAGGAGACATATATATGTATATGTACATATATATGTGTATATATATATATATATATATATATATATATATATATATATGTATGTATGTATGTATGTATGTATAGATATCACGGCGATACTTTGTACACTCATACACACGGACACATGTTCATCGCGAGACATAAATGCATACCATACATACACACATATACATGCGCGTAGTGATCGACATTCGTAAACCAAATAACGACTGATTTCGAGGAAAAAAATGTAACTTTTAGCTCGTAAGAACGAAACTGCACTGCGGCGTTAATCCAGTCTCGATGTTTAAGTTTCTTAGTATTAATATCATCGACGGCATCAAACGGTCCAATTTTCTCTCTTGCGTTATTACACAATATTGAGATTAAAATCTTCATTTGGTTTGTCAACGAATACTCCTGTGTTTTCTTCCTCACTCTGTCTGAATCACCGAGTAATACGTACACTAAGTGGTTTTTTAACGTAAGCGGACACGTCCAACGATATACGTCGACTTTCGTGATGATTAGCAGCTAACTGGGGTAAAGAGTTTCCGATCTTTTGACGCTCTATGGACGTCGCTTTTCTTTTGATAAACGAGATCGCGGGAACTCTACTACGTAAGATAAGAATTAATGAATCTCCACCCTTATCTTGTGTGTGACCTTCGCGTTCTGTAAAGTATATATTACGGCGCGATCGACGGAGAGCTATCCAAAGTTCGTATAAAGAAGACTATCTCGGTGGAAAAATCGTGGAACTCCTTCGACAGATTGTAGGAAGTCGAATTAGCGCGACGGAACGTATCCTAATTAAAAGATAGACTTGTCGCGACACCTTATTATATCTCGGTATTTGTTATAATTTGATATAAGTATTTATCATACCTTGTAATTCGAGCAGGTCAAAGGCTAGTTCGCCTTGCCACGATTCGTCGAAGGACGGTGCGTTGTATCTCGCTGAAAAGACGTGTCGCTGTGTTGATTGTGTGTGGAAATCTGTCACATCGAGATCGCGCTAGATCATAGAGAATTAAGAGGAGCAACGATGAACGCGGTCACATCGCGCGTCCCTCTTCAATACATTTCGTTCCAAACGTAAATCCATTCCTGGGCACCGCAAGATCCTCGTGCGCGAGCTCGCGAATTTAGCAATCATTAACGCGCGTACGCTCGATTTTGTAAACGTATAGTATCGTGTTCTAATTACACTAATCTCACAAACTGAGAGTTACTCGATCTATGAAACTTAGAGATAAACTAGCGGAATAACGAGAATAACGAAGAGAGAGTTAGGAATAATGGAGTATTGACATTTCTGTTGTGTGACGAGAGAGAGGTGTGTACGATTTTTATATAAATATATAAAATATATAAAATACTCATAGAGAAAGAGAGAGAGAGAAAGAGAGCGAGAGAGAAAGAGAGAGATGTTGTAAAGAGACATTGTTTAAAGAAATTACTGTTAAATCAAAAAAAGTAAACTTATAGTTACACCTGTCGCCCGGCGCATTTTAATTTAATTTAATGTATTTATCGAGTATTTATTATAACCCGAGGCTGCGCGATTGTACTACACTTATACCGCTTCGCATGTCGGAAACAGTCGACGTTTTTCCGTTACATATCCGACGACGCAACGTTTCCCGATACCCGCTAAGAAGTGTGTGTGTGTCTCGCTGTTATTATTAACGAACACTTCGGACGTTCTCGTTCTAGCAGCGACTTTTTCGGCGACTGTTGCTATAGCTCAGGCGTCTCAGTAGTTCCGACTCAACGAAACTTTACTATTGGCGGAGCTTTTTTTTAGATCACGCGAGAAGGAAAAGAGAAGAAAAAAAACGTTTCACCGTCTCGAATAATAGTATTTTTTAATAAGTATAGTAGGGTAATAGATGAAGCTTAACGATCGAAAGATGTTAATATACTTCTTATTTTTTTATAATCGAATAATTTATGCGGAAAGAGAGGCGAATCAAACGACGCGTCCCCCTCACCCCCACCCTCCCCCGCCGTCCTTCCTCTGTATGTCGTACTTAGTGGTCGACCTCTGGAACTACTCTAATTCGATGTGCACAGAAAGATTTTCGATACTTACGAGAGATTTCACGTTGTTGCTTTATGAATGAAATAAATCAAATTGAGAAAAAGAAAACGAAATCGAAAGTCAGAATGTCCTTTCCCAACTATCGTTAGCAAAATCTTTGATTTCATATTTTTGTATTGAATTGCAGTAGTAAGGTCTGCACTAATAGTTACTAAAATTCGTCGCAAGTGAGACACTCGGATTTGAATTCAGAGTGAAATGAGAGTCTTTGAATTGAATCGCGCGATTGCAGATATAAATGTCACATGTATCATAATTTGACTGAACAACTTGGATCTAACTCTGAATAAAAATCTGAATATCTTACATGGGGCAAATTTCAAAGGACAACTATTAATGCGAGCCCAAGTGTTCGAAAAAGAGAAATATGCGTGTTACAAAATCAATTGTACAAAATGTTGTTTTTTCTTGCATTCGTCTCGAAATGATCTTCGTGACAGCCGATTGCTTGATATTTACGACATTATTACAAGTATTGTCTCAAACGTAAAGAACTCAAACTAGTTCTTCAATCGAGTGATATGACATATGTGACCTTTATATTTTTAATTAATATTCAAATAAAGAACTGGCATCCTCAACTCCAAATTGACATACACACGCGCACACACAGATCTGAATTAGGATCATCGGCAGAGTGAGAAGGATCATCGAATGTGCGTAATTAGGAGACGATATACAACCATCGCACATGTTTAATCGCACATAGATACAGACAGGTAGGCATTATTTAATTTTTAACTCGTACTCGGTAGCTGCGCAAGACGATTATTACCAGAAATGCATGTGTAAACGGCATTAGGTGTGAGAAGGCAGCGTGTAAGACGTGACCGAGCGTGAGTGCGGGTAATTTTCTATTTTTTTTTCTTTTTTTACTTATTCACGTCGAGAACGAGATACACAGTCGGCCGCGAAATTTTCCTAAGGTTAGTCTCCGGCGTCTGTTGCGAACGCGCTTCTCGTCTCAGGACTGAGAATTCTCTGCCTCATCCTCGTCGTCGTGCGGCGACGATGATCTTTCACTGTCGCAGGACGTTCGACCGACGTCGGGACGTGTTTAAATAATTCAATGTTTTCGTGGAGCGCCTCGTGCATTTTTACAGCACAAGTTGCTCCAACCGGTGGGCCATCTATTTCTGCTAGTTTTCCCGACAAGACTCGGTTCCTTACCATAATAACATATGTCACATACATACAGCACAAGTCACGTATTGTCCTACCATCTCGTCGTTACACATTGTTACACTATATATATGTATATTACGATTAAAGTATCGTCCTCTGTACATAAAATGTCTTTTCTTTTTCTCTCGTGTTTTCCTTTTTAATCGTATAAAGAAAGAGGGAAGAAAGAAGAAGAGAGGGAGAAAGGAACGTGCGGCAAGAAAATGAGAGAATGTACTACACGCCGTGCGCTTGGCAGCTAATTAATTCCGTTTCATAGTTTTACGATAGTGCTATGTCCTACAAAACGATATCGTTCTCTCGCAAGAGGTGGCTGTACAGATTAGAGACGCTCGTGTGTCTACGTCGTCCTCGTCGTCGCTGATAGTTCCGAATACGATGCAGTCACACGAGCAAATGTACTGAGAAACCGTGCAAGGGCAGAAAAAATTCGCGGTTATCTTTTCTAATGGTATATAACGTGGAATGGATTCCGAAGGCGTGTCTCTCTCTTACACGACTAACAAGATTTATTTATATATATATATATATATATATATATATATACACATACATATATATATATAATATTATATATATTTATATAATATTTATAATATTATATATAATATTTATAATATATATATATATATTTATTATATATATAATTTATATATATATTATATATATACATATATATATATATGTATTATGCATGTATGTATATATATATGTACATGTACTGTATATATATATATATGTACAGTCACTGACGCGTGGAATATCGCGAGCCCGTTTTCAAATCGCACCTTCACACTTCAATCGGTTGTCTATTTATTCTTCATGGCCCGTACATTAATAGACGACTTTTGTGCAAAAGAAACCGAGCGCTTCTACATCGGATAACTGATAAACGCATTTCTAAAGTCGTTTACAGAGAGAAGAGAATGTTCTCCGTTTTAGAAGTAATCCAAAACGGGGACGGTGTGAGTCCCTGAGTCCATTTAACAAGTTGGATTTGATTAAATTTAACATTTAACTGTTAATAGATAAAAAAATATTAATAATCATTAATATCACAAGAAAGATATTAATGCATGTTACATTTTACGTACTTTAACGTATGTATATATAATGATCGTTGTTTCTTACAATATGATAATTTATATTTGTAAAAGAATAAGAGTATAGCAGATGAGAAACAAGTAACATATCCAGTATTGGCTGACTGTTGTTTCCACGTTATTGCGGAGGCGCTCGATTCCTTTTTATATAAATATCTCCAAGGCACGTGAATTTCTGACGTGGCCTTATACACGTCACACGATCGCACCGAGTGCAATCGTCATCTCAGATAAATAAAACTCAATATCAGGCGGCCACATGCGACGCTGAAGCGTGACTATACGTTTACTACAATGCGACGCTACAGAGTTTAGACATACAGTTTTGCATTTATTTTACAAGTGGACAATTCTTAGGGATTCTGATACATTTTTCTTTTTATCTATTTTCCTCTGTTGTGTATTCTGACACAACGTATCCATCCATCCAACCTTGCTGCTACATGTTTCGGAAACTGCATATAATATATCATAATTCTTATACAGTTACACAATATAAAAGGCTTTCAAGGCACAAACTCGGGCGGCACGCAATCAAATCCGGTGCTCCGCTAATCTTCGCGAGCGTCAAATTTGAGGGGCGAATTATCGCGGATAATGCCACACTTCGTGGTAGGAAGTATACGCCTCTCAGTTATCAAAGACTCTGCTCAGGCTCTGAAGGATTAGGCGAGAAGTTTGCAAACGGGCTTCGCGAATAATCCGTGAGATGATTCGGTTAGCGAAAAAAACGAGGACTGGTGAGAACGCGAAATACAAGCTGTAAGTATAATCTTGCATTAATGAGAAACTATTCATACACGTGCGTCTTATAGTAAAGCATCGTGCTCGCTTCAACGGCGACAAGCTCAACGTGTGTGCCGAAAAGATCTCGCAACTCCACTCTAATCGTTTCTAACCGCCACCGTCGTTCGACGGTTGTGCGAACGACGTGGATTGTGACACGGCATGATAGCTACTAACGTGAGACTTCTAATATTCGTGTATCTACACCCGAATAGTGAAAATGCCTCAGGGCATCGAATTGGATCGCACTCCGCGAGTAAAGGAGCCAAAATTCGTGAGAAGACTCGTGAGGAATAGACATAGAACGCATCCTTTAACGATGCTCGTTCTTTGTTTCGCAATACGATACAGATCGAGCGGTTCCTTCGTGCAGAATCTGATCCAATGTAATTAATGTATCATTGTATCGAACAGTAAATTTTCTTAGCTCTAGGACGGGCTAAAACGTATCTTACAATGTTTTTTTTTTTATACCCTTCTTGTGGTCGTCGATTATTGTCCCCATCACTCGTACAATTAGCGCAACGATTGCACCACGTTGTGCAATATGGAATTAAGGTAACATTTTTCGTCGACGTTCGCGTCCGTGCTATACAATATCCTGTTTGATCGCGACGTCTAAATCGATCTTCCGTCGCGAATTCCCAAGTTTCTCCGACCGAGATCGCAAGTTACGACACCTTATTCTATCATACTTTCTTTCGTTTATATCACACTTAATCGCGTAATTATTAGCCAAATATCTTAGTCCCCTAGTATTGTTTACTTTCTTTTGTTTTGCTCATTTTTCCTATTTCATCACGAAATCTCGTAATTTGCAAAATACCTTGCTCCTCTCGTACTTTTACTCGTTTTATCCATTTATGCGACAGATCGCATATCTGCCAAATTGAACAGCAAAAAATCACAGCTAGGCACATCGGCAAACAAGTGACAGCAAACGGCAGTGAAAAAAGATGGTATTGTCTAGATAATTAGGCACTGTTAATATATATCTCACGGCTAAGACACTCAAAGACATCGATGTACTTTTCGGATTACATGATCTCAGACTTTGGGAACGTGCTTAGATACAATGAAAAAATCGTAAACTCTGATAAAATATCACAGTGCATAAATTAAAGATATTATGCGAATATTCCGTTCCTTTTGGCACTCTTTTTCGTATCGCAGGAAAGTAAAGAACGTAACTTTAAAATCATGTTCAATCGATCGGTGAACGTAAATTTTAGCCGAACAATGCATGATGAACTTACTAATACATGATTTTCTTTCCTAGTCTATGCGTAAACGCGCATGACAATCGCGTACAGAATATGTACAGCGCGCGTGAAACTCAAGTGTACACTCGCAACACATGAAAATGATACTTATCTAAACGTGTACTCTTTCGATCGAGTTCTGCTCACAGGGATCGGTATAATACGGGCGATTTGGTGCGTGACACAATATAATCGAGAATACAATGCAATATAGTCCTACAGAGATGGAGAAAGCCATGAGTCACGTAAATCCCTTTACGGATCGGTGAATTTAACGTTTTCAATATATCATCGGACGCAGTTAACTTTCGGTAGTCAACGTGAGATCAGCGTCCAATGTCTTACATTGAAATATAAACGCGTCGTCGTTTCTCAATAAAGCTCTGCGCTTACACTGTGAGTTCTTTCTAGAATTTCAAGATCTAGAGCTAAACGTATTTTAAAGCGCACACGTAACTTAAGAGACATAATTATTAGATTAAACTCGATCGAGAAGACATAGAATATATATACATATTTTTATATGTATCCACATATATATACATATATATATTCTTTCTCGTCCTGTAATTCGGAGAATTTACTCTCTTTGTCAAAAAGCTGTATTCGTTATACATACATATATATATTTTTTTTACCGTCGTACAATAAATCTTAAAATCGTCTAGTTAACGGATTTGTGGTACAACACTGTATGTGTGATAAATACCTCCACAATAAGTCTCCATATAAAATAAAGTATTACGACTGATGCATAGATTTGAAAAATATTTTTTTTTACATATACCATTATTACATATATCATTCTATGTAATAATTCTTTCCCTATGTAACAGCCGAAGAGTTTGACAACATCTAAATGTATAGTCTGTGATCACGATAATTCCCAGAGATCGCGTTAAACATTTCGTGCAACTTCTCGCAATTCCTCATATTTTCTTGGAATATTACATCGTTTTTTTTGTTACCATCTTATTCTCACAAGATTTGATTTCAATGTCGATAAAATACATGGAGTAACTCACAGACAGAACTCTGTGTAGTGTGTATGACTGAACAAGCCCGTGCACAGTCTGCATAGCTTTTGCATCTGCGACTTTATGACCAGTTTCATTAAACCGAATGCATCTAATTGTCCTTTCTTAACGAACCGTAGCGTTCTGTGACACGTGCGCGTATTACTTATGACACAGAACTTATGGCATTATGAGGCGAGCCCATCTGCGTTAACACTTTGTCTAACCATTGTAAAGGTCCGTGTAAATGTGCTTCGATCCAGCAAGGTGTAGACGTAACATCCTGCCGATGATACTCAGCACCCCATCCTTTCACAAAAGACATTCTGCAAATAAGAGGAGCGTATAATCCGAGCACACGTATAATCCGAGTTGCAATCTCGCGGGATTCGGTTGAATCATGCGCAAATTTAATTACCTAATCGTGCACATCTTCGTCAGCTCGTAGACAGCCTCGAAACCATGATTCACGCTTTGCGAGAGAAGTTGGGCAAACTCCTGATTGTTGAATATCTTCAACGAGCATCCGGGTGGAATTTTGCAAACTGTGCTAGGATGAAAACCGTGATGATGATTACAGTTCCTAGATTGTACGAATATGGCCGAGTCGGACAGGCACTCGGCGTAGACCTCTCCCCCGACGTAGTAGAGATGCACTCCCTTCCCTATGTGTCGCCTCGTATTCTCTATCGTGGAATTACGATTTACGTTGGACAATTGTCCTAGACAGAAACGGTCGGAGTTGTTGCTGGGGTTTGTGAAGCCGTCAACGATCACGGAGTGCGATTGACAATGAAACACCTCGCCCACTCGGCAATTCAGCTCGTAGTAGGCGATCGAGGCCCAATAAAGAGGTTCTTGGTAACACACGGGAGCCACCTCGGTGGGTGCGCTCGTATCCATCGGTACAGAGTCTGACGGCGGTGACTGGCCGGTCTGCGAGCCATCCTCGGGAGGAGAGTAGGCCGGTGGTGGCGTCTCAGGCAGGCCGTTTGTGCCGTACGGGCTCTGCGGATTCGGCAGTGTCGTACTGCCTGGACTTGGCACGGAACCGACGGAGGACATGGGAGACGTTGGATTCACACCGCCGGACGAGGTGGCGTTGAAGCCGCTCGACGAGTAGGACACGTTGTGCGGCATTGTGGGTTCCGCCAGTTGTTGGAACGGTAGCAGAGAGTGACCTGGTGCATACTCCGAGTGTCTAGGGACCAATACAGGCGGCAGCACCGGACTCTCCACCCTCTTGTAGTGATAGGGGTTGATGCAGACTTCCTTCTGCTTGGCGGAGAACGGGAATTGACACAGCTCGAGCGGCTTCAATTCGTGGTGTGACTGCAGATCCGGCCATCTCCATACCCTGCAGTAGATCACGTGTGGCAAACCCTTTCGGTGGGATACTTGTAATCTACCGTCCAAGCTTCTAGGTATAGTCACGCATTTGCTCGGTGTGCCCGGACAGCTGAGTGCGCGTTCCAATTCCTCGATTGCACCTTTGCGCTTCTTCAATTTCTTCACCAGCGAGTCCACTGCCTTCTCGGCCCACTTCTCCTCCTCGTCGCCTTGTTTCCAGCCAAGCAACTTCTTCACAGCAGGGCTTGTGAACGAGAACAGACTGTTTAATGAAGACATTGGTCCTGAACTTGTAGCTCCCTCCTCATCATCCATATTTCAAGAGCTGAGGTTGATTATAAGTGACAGGAATTCATAATATCCTCAACTGCGTCGATGAGAGATGATCTTTCTTGTCAGAACGCACAATCTGAAATTACACAGGCGATATTTATTCTTTGGTCAAATCTTAAAAGGGAAAATTGCTTTTTCATTAATTTTAGAGAATTACTGAAGTTCCAAAGTAATAAAAGACTAATAAGAGTTCAACACTACACAATACCTATGTGAATTTTGATATCCAAAATATATATCTTCATGATGAACAAATAGGAAACAAGGTTAAAATAAAAATATATATTTTCATACAGATATACATAAAATATATTATAATAAAAGTTTCTTATTTTTTCTATTAAATATTATAATTCTTGGATATTGTATTGATGTATTTGAGGTATAGGATAAGAAATACTTAGGATAAGAAGTAAAAGGTAAAAGGAAAGAAGTAAGATAAGAAATAATTAGAATAAGTGATGAAAAGGAAAAAAAAGAAGTAGGTGTAGGAAAAAATGTAAAATAAAGTTAAGGTAAAAACTAAGAACTTCCTGATATTGTAAGCTGAAGTAAAATAAAGAGGACTATTGATGTATTTGAATGTCTTGCCTGTGAATTTTACATGTTTATGTGTAAGGAGATATCATACTTGAAAACTTCATAGATAGAATATTGACTTCTTATTTTTCTGTAAAGCTTACATCATATTGCATATAATTACAAATGCTTTTACACAACGGAAACTTCACATATGTAATAACAAAGTAGAGCATTATTCAATAATCATATGATGAAAATGATGATAAATTTTTAAGTCGACATTTCAAGCTGTTAATGTAAACATTTGCCTGATAAAAAGATTCTGCAGCTTACACATATCGAAGGTGTGTTTGCTCTGTTCAGGAGAATTTCAAAGAACATTTCAATTTGTGTCTTTACAACTAAATTTAGAACTTTAAAAATATACAAAAAGTTTGCAGAGAGAGAAATTTTTATATATGCACGATTATGTTTCCCACTAAATATGGCAAAATAAAACAGCACATATTTACATAAAGAGTCTGTTTTCTATTGCTGAACTGGCTGCATTAGTTCTCTTTCATCTTTCTTCCACCAAATTTTATCTGTATATCTGTTTCTTTTTAAGTTCCAAAAATTATACACTATTTCAGCAATAGAAAATAGACCCAAGATCTATCTGTGCATGAAACGAATAATTTGAAATTAATGACGGTTGCTTCTACGTTATCGGCACTTTTGGAGTTCGTCCTTCACTTTAATAGTAATTTGGAGTTCGTCCTTCACCATAATAGTATAAAAATAAATAGTCCACCGGGAAAAATGTACATCCATGTCGGAATGTGGGTTACTCGCTTTATGCTATTCAATTTCAAACATGAGGACAATTTAAAAAAAACCATTTTTGACCATTTATCTTCACTAACAATAGAATTTCACTAACAATAGAATTTGAGGAAAGTTCTCAACATGTTTTCTGACGTGTATTGACACTGTAGCAAGATTGGACAAAGCGTGATTCGAGACGCATCGTTCGCCGAATTTTTGCGATGCTATTTTTACAGGAATACTCGAGTTTTGGCACGTCTCCTCCCACCACTCACTGGACAAAGAACAAAATCCCATAGGTACAGGGACAAGCAAACAATTGCATCTCCCGTGGCGAGAATTTTCCCGCGCATTAACGACCCGAGCATGTCGAGTCACTTTCTTTTTCTGATAAATCACACAGATCCTTGAAAATTTTCGGAAGACCGTCGATTTTAACGAGGCGCGACGCTATAAACCAAAAACAAACTTCGTCGACGTTTTTAACGACACAGACACGGAGTTCACGCTGATTAATCACCGATGCCACTGGTACGATGGACTCGTTCACACGTCGCACGCGCGAAGTGCCGCAAAGTGCAGCGAAATTTTCGAGCCCCGTCCGCCTCGCTCGGGGCGGCCCAACGGAATCGAATGTGTTACGTCGTTGTGTCGAGGTTAATTATGCTACGGGGCAGGCGCTCTCGTCGGCACCGTTGCGACGACGAGCCAGCTCGTCGGCCGCGGCGGAAAAAAAAAACACGACGCGCACCGGAAGCGCACAGCAGTGGCACACAGCTACACCCTTCCTCGAATCGACGACCACCGTCAGGCGCCTCGCCGCCGATACGCGCTTTCATTACGGGGTATTCGTTCACTTACGCGCGACTCCCTGGCGATTCAGCATTGTTTTTACCACGGCCTCTCCCACTCCAGCGCCTATCGCCCTCGACGCCACGCTCTCGCCATTACGATCTCTCTCTCTCGGCCAGGCAAAAAGCGCCCGCGGGGTTATCGATTGCGCTGTTCGACTGGCACAGCGCGCGCGGGGTGTTCCGCGCTCGTGAACGGAACGGCGATTCCGGCGACGATCCGCCCCGAGGTCGGTTTCACAAAGCGCGCCGCCGTCCCTCGCTGCTGGCGCCGCTGTGAGCGATCTTTCTCTCGCCCGGACCACTGTACTATTCCGTTCGTTCGGCCGTCAGCCGACGACCCTCGACTACGTCAATGACGATGACGATGACGACGACGACGACAGCGGCGAACCGAGGACGAGAAACGAGGCGATGGCCTTTACCGAACGACCATCTCGCTCCTTACGAACGATGCACTCCACGAACGACGACACGCACTCCGCGTGGAACACGGCTTTTCTACGGGACGTACCTCCAAGATCGACTTGTCAACGAGCGAGCGAGATTCTCAGGGCGCTTACGTTCTCCTCGCGTGCGCCACTACGGCGAGTGTTTACTCGGCGGTCTTACGCTGCACAATGCGACTGTATGTGCCTTTTACACACGGAAGTTACTAGGAATCGCTAGGGCTCCGTCGCGAATGTCTCGACTGGTTCGCTTGTTCTCGGCAAACGTGGACCAATCGCACGCCGCAGCGCTTTACGAATTGCAATTCGCACAGCGGGTGCAGGGGAGCAGGTGCATCTCACATAAGAAACAGGTGCACACGATTGGTGCATGTCGCCCTTCGACCAATGAGATGTGAGCGCTACGTGAGCGATGCGTACTCGCTGTACAGACCAATCAGATTTAACGTACGAAATATGAATGCGCCAGTGACATACTCGAACACAATATTGCATTAAGAATATTGTCACTGCTTTTAATTAATCATGTAAAAGAAGATCGATATTTATATAATGTTGCATGAACAAATGTTATGCTTCTGCTTTGAATTAATATTATGAAAGGAAATTATAATATACTTATGTAAATGCGCAAAAAAATGTTATTGCTTTAAATTAATATTATGAAAGAAAATTAATACTTATATGCTGCATAAAAATTATGTTACTACTTTGAACTAATATTAAGAAAGACTGCCTTCTCACATATATGATTCATCATTTACTCTGCATTCATTACGCATACATACTTATAAAATATTATAAATTAATTTAGTACATCACACACGCACAATGGAAGATTTATATTTACATGGGCACGCGATAAAATTAATTGGCAGCTTTTAAGTGTAATAACAGATTCACATAAATCACAAGTAACAAGCAGATATGTTTAAAATTCTGACTTGACTGATAGACTTGAATATCGCACAACGATTTGATTTCAACGGCTTAAGACTCCTGGCCGCGGTTATCTTGATTTATGACGCCAGGGAAACAAGAAAATACACGCTAAAAATTCTTGTTATATGCGTAGAAATAAAGAGGTGTATCCATAAAATGATATATGCTATTGATCAAGTAAATGTGTAAAATAATCCAACGTATCACGTTAATTTTTTAATTTATTGATTATTAGAGAAAAAGTGTTTGGACTATTTTGCAGATGTATCCGATCGATTGCAAAAGTCATTTTATGGTCATATTTTTTTATTCTGCAACAATTTTTATCGGATATTTTTTCACCTCTGATGTCATCAGTCGAAAGTTCCGCAGTCAGGAGTTTTAAATAATTTCCAGATTTTTGCGATTGTATATAGTATAGCATATACAACTGTTTTGGAACTTTCATTCAAGAGATAACAAGTATTAATAAATAAAATAACACGAGACATGTATAAGGCGAACATTCTTTGGTCTCAAAAATACTTCAGATCTTGGCTGAGCGCCAATTGTTCTCAATCGTTTTCGAGCATATCATTTTCATCCTCCAGAATTATCGTATTATGCCTCTCCATAAACAGAGTCTCTTGACTCAAAGCGGGAACCTGTCGAGAGAATTCGCTGGTCGCCCACAGGAACAAGTCCAGCGTCTGCTCCGTGCATTCCGCTATGAATCTTACAAACGGTTTTATGTCTCCTGTGTTTGCTATTTGCAAGTTCTCGTAGTACTTGTGGCGGTGTTGCTTGTGGATGATAACGGGTGGATATCCAGCTTGCATGAGAATCATGTTCATGAGCAAGCGGGACGTTCTGCCGTTACCGTCGGCAAATGGATGTATATGTACTAGCTTGTAGTGCGCGACAGCTGCGTATCTACAAAGAACATTTCCCTGATAAATATCTCGGAGAAAAATATCAGTAGAAAAGAAGATAAGAGATCCACTCACTTAACTGGATGCAACCTGATAGCTTGCTCGCTATTCAACCACATCCCAAACTCCTCCATCAAGTAGTGTATGTCTCCTGGGCCCGGAGGTATGTGGCCACCGACGTATACTTGAGTCCTACGAAAATGACCGCCTTCAACAGGATCTACGTGACCCAACACACGCCTGTGTATCTCCAATATATCCTTTATTGAAATTGAACCCACTCTGAAATAATGAAATGTAATTATACACGAGAGTAATTATGTATGTAAGTCATCATAAATGTGTTTTAACACACTGCGGAGTCATTTTATCGTTAACTGTGTTCAGTAGCTAAATATTAAATTTAGGACTTCTTATTTTCCTTTTAATATTTAAACATTCTATAAGATGAATAGAAAAATATTTATAGAATATCTTTAATATTTTTAATATCACTCTAATATTATCGCTGCAACACTCGTAATTTATTCGTAACGTGTCAAGATTGAAATAGATTCCCGGCCCAGCTTATGATGTGTTGTGATTTGTTTTCTCTAATTTCTTCCAAAGTATTTTCTTACAAATTGTTTCTAAAATCCTTGATTGAATTTATATTATATATTAATACAAAAAATATTCCAATAAAAAGTTCAAATATACTTGAGTATTGAGAAGAGGAGATGCCGAATTGTACATAATGTGATTGTCGTGAAATAAATATTTTTGTATTGTACTTTTATATTGTCTTTGAAATTATTGTGTTATGGAAATTTACCTATTGACCAAAGTTGCATTGATGTATTTCATGGCAGCGTCCAGTCCAAGAATTTCATTATGCTCATCAATACTTTTCCCAGCAACTGCAGTACGTGTTTCTACTATAGCCCTAGTCTGTGCTAGATTCATGGTATTTCCCTCAATCCCGACTGTGTGATAAATATGTTGGAAGTAAGCTTCCTTCTTGGCGCGTATCAATGCAGCATTGTGATCAGGTATTGTGGACAATGTGTTCCTCTTTTCATCGATGCGTCTGAGCATCCTCCTATCAAGTTCCTCAACTACTCGAGCTGTCCTTTGGCTATTTATTAAAGCACTTTCATGGTTTGGCTCATAAGTTAAAGCACGTACATAAAATTCATTAGCTTTGATCACATTGTTCTGAGTATGTTCCAGAAATTCTCCATAATGATTTAGAACATCTGGGTGATGTGGTGCCAATGCCATTGCATGTTGAAACAATTTTATAGCTTTTTTTTGCTTGCCAGATGATTTCATCTCTATAGCTAAATGCAAGGATGTCAGTGCCTCTGTTGTTGATGTCTCTGTATTCTGAACTTGCAGCTTATCGAGTTCTGTGTTGCCCAATGCAACACTAAAGGTGTATTCCTTGTTTGATATACCACCTGAAGGAAGCGGTATAAATACATGGCGAAACTCTTGCTCTGGAAAGAATAATGGAGATAATGAATATTCTTAATCCTGGTCGCATGCAGACAAATTTAGAATACAAGAACATCACAGGAAATTGTATCTCTTTTGCGAAATGCCACAGAAAATGATACTTTTATTTTTGCTCATGACATAACGGAACAAAAATGATAGGCATAATGTATGTTGAGAGAACTAGGGCGATCAATGTTAAATTTTACATACTTGAAAAATCAGTAGACAAGTTAAACAGATACTGCAACAGTAGTGTGCCAATAATAGCAACTGCGACCCCGGAGATGAAGACAAGGGACACAAGGCGATTTGGTGTCATAGCGTCGTCTGTCGCATCCTTCCGCTTAGCATTCACGTGAGAGGTTTTTGTGCAGTGCATAATATAATACTCGTACGCGCACGCCGGTGACATCTTTCCTCACAACGACTCTTCTGGGATACACTTTCATCAGCGGACTCTGACATGTTTAACGATCATATGGAGATGCAACGCGTTCACATGACGTAGAGCGCCTCTGACGGTAGCGGTGTCGTCATCACTGTACGTCAATGTGGTTCTTTCTGATTGGTCGATTTGTGTGATATCCTTCGCGCGTATTCTCCGTTTTTCTCTCTCCGTTATTCTCTCTCTCTCTTTCTCGCTCGTCCACTCAACTAAAGTTTTCTATAGAAAGTCTAAACTAAAAACGATATACTTAGGTCCATATTCTGAACCCTCTTTTATCGATAAAAGTGCCTTAAATGTAGCTTCTCAGACAATCAGATGGCTCCTAAGCCTCTTTTAGAGGCACTTTTATAGATAAAAGAGGATTCAAAATATGAGTCTTAGTAATTATGATATACTATTCTAAAATTTATGTTTCATATACTGACAATTTATTCCTCGAGTTTTTGTTCATAAATCTTTACAGTATTTTGTTATATATTTGCAAGATTCTCTCTTAAAATATGACTGAATTTTGACACTTTTACCCTTAACGTCCGTTGCATACTGAACCTCTCTTTAGAAATAAGAGATCTCATTGGATCTCGTGCATCGTGTCTAGTGTGCAACGCATGTTAAGTATAAAAGTGCCAAAGGTGCAAGCAGTGTGAATAAACCTAAGATATCGTTAGATAGTCAAAAGTGAACATCTCGCTGTCGGGATTGTTAAGTACGTACAGCAATAGTTGTTCACCGGATTGTGATTATTCGAAGCTCGAATATGGAGCTTCGCATTTTGCAGCCAGTAAAGGAGTCTCGTATACAAATCATCGTCATTGGGAAACCAACGACGTAACCGTAAGTTCTGTACACTTTTAATAGCAGTCATAAATATCCCGAGTACCAGAGCGATCTCGAGTATTCTGCGCATACGCAAATTTGAAAATTAAACGAAGCCCTCTGATTGGTCAGCCGCTTCACTGTAGCGCGTCGGTACTTCGAGAAACTCAATTGTCGCGATATTCATGTAATTCTGGATGGCCACGGTGAAACGCTCGGCATCGAGAAGTCTCTCTGGAATTCTCGTGATTTAGACTCGTCCAAGGTGAGTCTCGCGCGCGCATCATTTCCAGGAGTGTCGAAAGTAAATCTCGCGCGTGTGCGTCGCGAGTTCGTCGAATAACCATCGGAAATGAATACTCGCTGTCGAAATTGTCAGGTACGTAACGTCGTTCATCAGGTTGTGGCTATTCGGAGCTCGACCGCGGGCTTCGCGTTTTGGAGTCACTGAAAAAGTCTCCTACATGAATCATTATCGTCGGGAATGTCGATCGTAAGTTTTATGCATTTTTATGGCAAAGTCCTAAATATTCCAGATATCAGAGCTATCTCAAATATTCTGCGCATACGCGAATTCGAAAGTTAAACGGAGCGTTCTGACTGGTGTCGCGTCATTGTAGCGCGTCGGTACTGCGAGAAACTCAATCATCGCGATTTTCATGTCAGAGAGAAGCATGAGAGCGGCACCAGCCTGATTTCAATGGCCAGAGCTAGACGCATATTCGAGACGCCATCTAACAAAGTGTGCCTTTACTATCGTTCGTTAAGCGCATTTTCGCGGTGGTAACGATAAAATGCGCCTGGTTCGTACCCGTTGTACTACCATACAATGATAGTAAGTTAGAAAAGGACAGATGTCCAATCGCTCTATTCTTGTCTCACCACTGATAAGAGGACCGCACGACGTAGGCACGAAGCGAGCTAGCGACGATAAACTCTAGACTCCACAAAGGCTAGGTAAACGGACTGTCGTAATATTCGCTCGTGGCGCTTGGAGGGCGCGCGGCCGGGCCATGTAAACACGCGTACGCGAGCACGTGCTCGAGCATCACGCCATAACACTTTCAACCGTCGAGACGAGTATATCGGGAGCTGCCGCGTTATTTTCTAAATTATTTCACGCCGATTTTTAATATCACATTTTAACTTTCCCATAATTAAGGTGATAATTGAGACGCGCAGTTTTCACGCGAGCAGGTGCTGCGGGTTTTATCGTGACAAGTAATTACCGCGTTTTATTTACTTTTTTACTTGTTAGATAGAGAAACGTCGCGATCAAGTTACTCAATGCCGATCAAATATTATCAGCATCAATTTATTCGAGTATTATTACTTCTTTATTTGGTTATTATTTAATTATTGCTATTATGCATTGAAAAGTAACTCGGGCGTGCCGTTATGATTTCTTTACCTCGTTTTTGTTCAGTTATTATCGCCGTTGCCCAATTATTATTATTCGTTGTTATTACCGATTATTCGATCATCGTTATTCAGTTAATATTCATTCGCGGATATTATCACATGATTGTGGAGCAGATATTATTATCACTACTATTTAATATTCAAGTATTATTACTTCTTTATTCGGTTCTTATTTCATTTTTTTGGTTATTATTTAACTATTGCTATTACGCGTAGGAAAACAACTCGGGCGTGCCGTTACGATTTTTTATCTTGTCTTTGTTCAGTTATTATCGCCGTTACCCAGTTATTGTTATTTATTGTTATTACCGATCATTTAATCATCGTTATTCAGTTATTATCCTTTTTCGGATATTATCGTACGATTGTCGATCAGGTATTATTATCACTACCATTTATTATTCGAATATTATTACTTTTTTACAATAATTATAATAATATCTGATCGACAATTGTATGATAATAGCCGCGGATAATAAGGGAATAATAATGATCGAATAATCGGTAATAACAATGAATAACAATAACTAGGCAACGACGATAATAACTGAACAAAGACGAGATAAAAGAATTATCGTAACGGCATGCCCGAGTTGCTTTCCTATGCGTAATAGCAATAATTAAATAATAACCAAATAAATTAAATAATCGAATAAAGAAGTAATAATATTCGAATATTTTAAATAGTAGTGATAATAATATCTGGTCGACAATCGTGTGATAATATCCGCGAGTAGATAATAACAGAATAACGATGATCGAATCGGTAATAACAATACCTGGGTAACGGCTCTAACAAAAACTTTAGGCTCCACAAAGGCTAAATAAACCGACCCGTTCGGGCGCTGACTGAGCGGCGCTGAGCGGCGGAAGGAGGGGAGCGGTGCTGGGCGGCGGGAGGAGGGGAGCGGCGCTGGGCGGCGGAGGGGAGGGGAGCCCACGGCCCGTCATATACACGCGTGCGCGAGCACATGCTTGAGCATAACGCTGTTAGCCGTCGAGGCGAGCGTATCGCCGTAGTTGCCGCGTTATTTTCTAAATTATTTTGCACCAGTTTTTAATACCGTATTTTGATTTTGCCACAATTAAGACAATAATTAACACGAATTGAAACGCGTACTTCTCAGGTGAGCAAGTGTTGTGGGCTTTACCGCAGCGGGTAATTATCGCGTTTCATTTATTTTTTACTTGTTAGATAGAGAAACGTCGCGATCGAGTTCCTCAATTCCGATCAAATATTATCAACATCCATTTATTATTCGAGTATTATTATTTCTCTATTCGTTTGTCATTTAACTATTTTTATTACGTATTGAGAAGCAACTCGAGCGTGCTGTTACGACAATTTCCTTACCTCGTCTTGCTGTTGTGTGTAATTAATTGATACTGTATTTAATTGATACTACTAGACATTATTATACGGTTGTCGATCAGACATTATTATCATTATCTATTAATTAATCGAGTATTATTACTTCTTTATTCGGCTATCGTTTAATTATTTTTTATTGCGCATTGGGAAGGAACTTGAACGTGTCGTTACGACAATTTCTTTTCACCGTCTTGATGTCGCGTATAACTATTTGATACTAATTTATTAAATTACTAACTGATACTAAATTAAATTAAATTTCTGTCACAGAGATCTATTAGAGAAGATGCAGTCACGCAGTTCTAGGGGATGCGATGCCTGGGAGATGCCGCGCCGGAGGATTCGGCTCGGGTCTGGCTGAGTCGGCTCGAAGGTGAGCTTCATTGATTTATATTCGTGATTAGAAATCTGAATATTTTTTGTCAAAACTGAACATTTTCTTGCTTTAAATCGAGTTCCTTAATGTCTCCATTGTTATATAACTAATTAATACTAAATTAAATTTGCTTTCTGTTTCAGAGACGAGCACTCGACTCTAAGGGGATGCTGCGCTGGAGGATCCTGCTCGGACGTGGCAGAGTTGGCGCGAAGGTGAGTTTCACTGATTTAAATTCGTATCAAGATCAATTTGGAATCAAGTTCCTTAATGCCTCCATTGTCATATGTAATACTAAATTAAATGTGCTTTCTGTTGCAGAGACGAAGCAGACGACTAGCCGACTCTTAGGGGCTGCTGCGCCGGAGGATCCGGCTCGAGCCAAGCGGGGTTAGTTCGAAGGTTAGTTTCCCTAATTAGCATTTGTAATTATAAATCCAATAAGATTGATAATTCTCTTGCTTGAAATCAAGATAATTTGAATCGAATCAAAGATCGCGTTAAATCGTAATTACATGCGGGGAGAATTTTTTCCTGAGTAACATCACCACTTGAAAAATGCTGATTTGTTCTAATTAAAACATTTATTTGAAACGTTGAGAAGAAAAAATGTGGAATATTCTAAGTGTGAATGCATTCCGAAAAATTCTCCCAGCGTGAAAAATATCGCGTGTTTATTTTTTTTAATATTGCAAACTTCTTTACTCAAACCAATATCAATGTACGAATCTAATCGACGAAACATTTTTCTGTTCCAGAAACGAAAGCAGAACGTGGCTGCCCTGATCGGCGAGTCGGTAAGTCAAACAAGAAAAAAAATTGGTAACAGAAAGACAAAAAGTCTTTCCATGTAATGCATGTTTATTAATCAATGCGATTTACTTTGTTGTGGTGTAGTGTACGTATGTGCCGTCCAATAAAGCATACTGTTCGAAACAATTGAAAGATCGCTTTTACAAATAATAATATTGCATAATAATGCATTTTTATAAATTTGGTAAATTTTCAAATATTTTTCTCTCAATGTATATTTATTTATTTATTGTTTAACTACTTAGATTAATGATTGGTCAATGACTTTTATTGAAGAAAATTTTGATTAATTAAACCGTAACACTATCTTGCAGATGCCATTAAAGTATCGAATATACGCTCTGAATTCAAAATTTTGTAAAATTATTTAGTTTTATTGAATGCGATCTTCCAAGTATCTCGATCAGTGCACCAACGCACAGAGATTGCGTCACAGAAAATGCGCATTCACATCATCCGTCTCGATAGATTTTTCGCCGGTCATTAATTTTCTCAGTTTTCTCTCTTGCGTGAGCTTGCATCGCGATTGTATTTCGTAAAGTACAGAGTTCGTTATTAAATAAAATTCAATATCGTGCGGCGTTTGTGTGAAGTAATCTAACATGATTACTTAAACTACTCGCGAAATTAATTTCACGATCGTCGGAAAATTTTCCGTTTCAATTTTTCGCTTAGAATTTCCTAACGTGGAACGATAGATAATACTAGCAAGCATTGATATCTTGCGAAAAACGCGATGTATACAAATCATATGCGAGCAGTTGTTTGTTTATTTACGTGGTGCGCAACGAGTTCCATCGAACAAAACAGGCACCTCATATAGGCGATAATATTTTTTTTCGCGTGAATTTTGAATAGAATCTTTATCTCTATCGTCGCAATTTTCATAGTTCTCGAAAATTTTCATAGTTTTCATTCACGCTCGCGTTTGCGATTATATGTTTTGATAGATTTGCGAATTTAACCGGTTCGTATTTGCGGAAGAGTCGAAAGCGAACTTCGCAGAAATACTGCGGAACTGTTATCCGCAAAAGCATTGCGGAATTGTCTTCGTACAAATATTGCGAAGCTGTTATCTGCAAAAATATTGCGGAATTGTCTTCTCAAAAGTATTGCGGAGCTGTTATCCGCAAAAATATTGCGGAGCTATATTGCAGCCTACTACACTGCACCATCGAAACGTTACATTAGGGATACTCCGTGTCGTACGTGAGAATCTCGCACAGATTACTGCGCCTACATGTCGAAGAATTTCGCGAGATCGGCCTTAGATTCGCGTCGCGTGTTCCCTTCGCTGGCGGGTTTCGTTTTCTTCGTAAGGGATTCGCGTGTGTATCAAAGCGATATACTACAACTCGATCGGACCGTTGCTGAATTCGTCGCACATACTCGTCGTTTATCCGAAAGGTCCGACATTTCTTCGAAGACGCAATTTACGATATTTCATACACAATTCGCAACTCGGAGTGTATTCCCCAGGAGAGACGGGCTTTTTCGTGAAACCTCCGTTAGATTACCGTGGTCGGGAGTGAATTACAGGCGACGTGGGACGCGAGGACCATTGCAGTGTCAGATGTAACGACAGGGTGGCTGGTGGACCCTGGACACTGTGGGACAACGCGCAATGGTGAGCGCTCAATTTAGACGCTCATAGTAGATACAAAGCGTCACTTTACGTAGATTGCATGCACGTAGACGTAAATCGCATTGGGTCCGACGGGAAGTAAAGTAAGAATTGGAATTTGCAATTCGCCGGAGTTACGTAAGAATGATCCAACCAAAGAATTTAGCTTTGAGATTTTCGCAATAGTTCGAGTCAAGCATTTCCATTTCCTTAAGAGTACTGACTAGCTCAATCCTTAGAAAAATGTGCAAAAAGATGCGACTGGTAAAAAATAAAAAAAACTGATTCTTAATTCATTTCAAACATCTGTAAGACTTGGATTTTATTGTTTGGATTAAAAAAATGTGAATGAAGTATCCATTCATAAAAGCTTATAATTTTTTTAATTGAAGCATTTTTGCATAACAATGGCCAATTGAAATTTTGACTCGGCAGACTTCCTTCTCGGATTATTTCTTGATGATATATTAAACTGATATATTTCAACATATCATATTTATATGCTTTGTATATGTTATATATGCTTTTTTTATGCTCTATATATGTACCCAATGTATGCTCTATATACTATTTGATATACTATTATATATTATTTATATATACTAGTTGATTAATATACTTTATAACTTGTTATGTCGTATTATATACGACATAATATCTCTTCGGAGATATTTTCTTATGCATACGCGTTTGTTGTTGACAAGACAACAAATTAATTTTCGACAAATTAAAGACAACATATTAAATTATTAATCCGAGACTCGAACCGAAATATTTCCTGCTAAATTATTAAGTTATTATTATTAAGCCAAGATTCGGACCCGACGTTTTGAGACTCCGCTAAATTATTAAACCGAGATTCCACCGAAGTGTTTTGTACATTCGCTAAATTATTAAGCCGAAATTCGAACCGATGTGTTTGGAATCTCCGCTATACTATCCCAGCAAACACAATGTTACATGTAACATACATGTTAGTTATAATTTCCTACTCAACAATATAACTGTTATATAACATACGTGTTATATAACAGTTATATTGTTGAGTAGGAAATTATAACTAACATATATGTTACATGTAACGTTGTGTTTGCTGGGTATTTAGCCGAGATTTGAATCGAATTGTTTGGTCTCCGGTAGAGACCCTATAATAAGTGTCTGGCTATTAGAGGAATTTTGCCAGAATTCCTTTGATTGCTAGATTTTTATTATAGGGTCTCTAGTTTCTGGTATTATTCGTATTATTGTAAATTACCAATTCAAATAAGATGAATTGTGGGGCAGATAATGCCCTTTGAGTCACTTTGATATTTTTAGTGGTTGTCGAGAAATGTCCGAAAAATGCAATCGGTATTAAAATGGTCAGCGACATTGAAAAGTACGCACGCTTCCACGGATTATTTAACGAACCGTTATTAATAGTATTATTATAGTATTAGTATTATTAGTATTATTGTAAACTCTGAATTCTAACAAGATAAATTGTGGAGAACTTTGTTTTATTTGAATCACATCGATATCTTTTGTGGTTGCCGAGAAATAAGCAAAAAATATGAGCGGCATGTTTAAGCTTATATACTTATTTATTGTTTTATATTGTCCAGTTTCCAAATCTTTTTTTCTTACAAAATTACGCAGAACGTAGCGTGAGAAAGACGAGACTGATGGGAGAGCCAGACAACATAATATCTGAAATCGGGACAAAAGATCATCGGGCCTTAACGATCATCTTTAAGACTTCTTTCAGATGATTTATGTATAAATGTTTTTAAGGCGTCTTACAGATTATCTTTAAGACGTTTTATGTCCCGATTTTAGATATTATGTTGTTTGGGGATGATCTAGTTTTGTGATAATATCGCCGCTAGTTTGCTTCGTGCCTATGCGGTCTCATCAGTGGTGAGACAAGAACAGAGCGATTGAACGTCTTTCTTTTTCTAACTTACTTTCATTGTACGGAAGTACAACGGGCACGAATCAGGCGCATTTTATCGTTATCCAGACAGCACAAGATCTCCTGAGGACGTCCTAAGGACGTCCTGAGGACGAATAATGTCCTCAGGATGTCCTCAGGATGTCCTCTGGATGTCCCCTGGACATCTGTGCTATTAGGGTACCTTCGCGAAAATGCGCTTAACGAACATAGTAAAGACGCACTTTGTTAGATGGCGTCTCGAAAAGGCGCTTAGCTGTGGTTACTAAAATCAGGCTGGTAGCCGCTCTTAGGGTTATGTAATTATGAGACGGCCGCGGTGGTACGGTCGGCGTAGGAAAGCCTCTCCGTATTTCTCGAGATTTGGATTCAGCCAAGGCAAGTCTCGTGTGTATCATCTCCGAAAAGTATGTCAAAAGTAAGTCTCGCGCGTGTGTGTGGCAAGATATCGTTGGATAGCCGTCGGAAGTGAATATCTCGCTGTCGGAATTATCGAGTACAGTAACAGTACAGTCGTTCATCGGGTTATGGCTATTCGGAGCTCGACTGCGGGCTTTGCGTTTTGGAGTTGCTGAAGGAGTCTCCTATATGAATCATTATCGTCGGGAATATCGACCGTAAGTTGTATGTATCTTTTATGGCAAAGTCGTAAATATTCCGGATGCCAGAGCTATTTTGAGTATTCTGCGCATACGAGAATTCGAAAGTTAAACGGAGCGTTCTGATTGGTCGGCCGCGTTACTGTAGCGCGTTGGTACTGCGAGAAATTCAATCGTCGCGATATTCATGTAATTGTAGGATAGCCGCGGTGGAACGGTCGGCGTCGGGAAACCTCTCCGTATTTCTCGAGATTTGAATTCATCCAAGACAGATCTCGCGCGCGTATCATTTCTAAGAGTGTCGAAAGTAAGTCTCGCGCGTGTGCGTGGCAAAATATTGTCGGATAACCGTCGGAAGTGAATATCTCGCTGTCGAAATTGTTGAGTACAGTAACAGTCGTTCGTCGGATTATGAGCTTGTACAGAGCTTGATCGTTGAGCTTCGCGACATATATTTTGATCTCCTAAAGGATCTCGCACGCGAAATATCGTCCAGAAAATATTGCGCGTTTGTCGTTGAAGATTGGAACTCGGATGCACATTCTATCCGGCGGAGCAGAAGTTAGTAAGTACCAACATAACAGAGGCTATAACAGAATTCTTACATGCCACGCAGTCGGTAATTGTCACGGTCGGTAATTCCTATAGTCGGTAATATTTTTTAGTTATCATCGGGTTTTCTAAGTTTTTCTTTAGTAAGCGTGAACTTTCTTCGAGAAAACGACTGTATTCAATATTTATCTTTTTTTATAGTGAATTTAATAATTTAATAATTCAAAATGCTTATATTCTTTCTTATTTAAATGATTGTTTTAAGTGTAACAGTCTTCAATATGCATTGACCCAGTGTAGTGCGGATGACCAAATTCGCTATTATATTCATTAAAATTTTTCAATAAATATTTGTTGAAAATTTTTCAATAAGTATTTATTAAAGATTGTTTATATTCATTTCTAAATTTTACAATCGAATACATTAATGTCGTCCAATGCGTTTATATACACAAAGTAGCTTCATAGTATGTAATTATTTAAACATATTGTTATCACATTGTTTCGTCCTTTCACGAAATGAAATTTCACAAAAAACAATTTGCTTTTTCATGAAGTGAAGTTCCACAGTAGCTACAATTAAACAATGCTATTAATTAGTATCAAAACGAATCCAGTAAACATAAAGTGTTACAATGTCAGCTCAATCATATGGTATATTACATAACTGTTACTTTGTTATATAACAAAGTACATAATATACTATATGATTGAACTGACATTGTAATATAGATAATACTTTGTGTTTACTGGGAAGATATATATTTCTTCAACATTACAGGATAATGTGGCCACTAAAGGCAAAGTACGCACCGGAATACATTAATATTCCGATTATATCTAATCAGTGATTAAAGTTTATCATCATCTATTTAAGCTTGATATCTCTTTATTAATTATATAGATAGACTATTTATTAGATATTAATACGTGTATAAAACACAATGCAAGACAAATTTTTAATGAAAATAATTTCATCCTAATACAGAGATGTGTAATTAGTATCTTTTAATTAACGATAGATAAACGCGCAATTTAACGAAGTTAATTTCCGACTGTTTCGATAAACATACGCATCTCAACGAGAATAGTATTCGTCAGAAAATACAAACGTCGCAGTAATATTCAATTGTTTGAAAAACTTTCTAAGTTTCACGTATCTCTTCTTATTCTTGCACTTCCAACTCGAAATCGCCATGAGGGTGCATTAAGTACCTTCTTGTGGATTTCCTGAAAAAATATATGATAAAATATATAAAAAAAAAATATATACAAATATATATATAAAAAATATATATACAAATATATATAAAAAATATATATATATATATATATATATATATATATATATATATATATATATATATATACATATAAAATAATACATACAATAAATATATAAGAAAATATATGATAAATATATCGTAGAAGTGTTAAAAAAGGAGCACTCGTCGAATTAAATGCCGAATTAAACGATTTTTCGCGATTATTTCTTTAAGCGACACATTTCTTTAAGCGCCTCACTCGAATACTTACTCCAACTCGCGACGCAGGCACGCTTTCACTACTAATTCGTGAATTCGCTCGTAAAGTCGGGGGTATTATATCGCGATCGACTTGGAAAGTTCTCGAAATCTCTTCGCCTCTTGCTGCTCTTTTGGAATCAGTATGTGATCTGGCATTTTTCGGCTGAGTTTTATCCCTGTTAATAAAAAAATCAGCTTGTTTACTGCATCCGTGCATGCATAAATATCTTATTTTTTGTTTCCTCGAGAGGATACCTGTGTAATCGTTGCTCCAAGATCTTGTCCTGAATTTTCATAATTTGCGGTGCACGATATTGTTGGGGCGATAAGGACGCGTTCACGGTAGACACGTCGCAACGATTCCTCTGAAAAAAGCACACACACGCACGAGAAATTAACAATTAACTTGTTGCGGGAAATTTGCACGATCATTATGATCGTAATCGTCGAGATCGGAGAGATGATAAGGGAAGGCGAAATTTTACGGAATTTCTTTGCTCCTCGGAAGAGTGATTTCCGTTTCCGGAGCGGCATCGCCAGTTCCATGTCGTGGAGCCGTGTAATGAGGATTTCTTGACCGATCGATCTTGCACCTGGCCGTGTCGCATGACGGCTACGCGATCGGCATCGTAAGAATTTCTGGATGTACCGTTTCGGAAATTACCTCTCGTCGTTCTGCACCGAAAGAAAAAGTCGTAACGGGAAAATATCATGATAATTACACAATTCTGCTTAGCTATTTCGCTGAACTTTGTTCGTTTTTAAAGCAGGTGTTTGCGTTTCCGCGACTCATGGTTTCTCGAGAAATTCTTTGGGAATTATTCCTCGCAGAACTCTTATCTAAATTACGCCTTGTGCATTTAATTAGCATACCTGATAGTTACGCTCGTCGATGACGCGTCTCTAGTTTGGCATGTGGAACTTCGGAGAAGTCGTGGTGCTAATTCGCAAGCTGCAACGGCAGCAGCTGTTTGATGCAACTTGTGAACTCTGTGCGTGAAAGTAAATTAATTCACACAGATATATAATATTAAGTATAATAATAAATACATATCTATTACTATCTCTATATCTAATAAATGATGATATTAAATATAATCATGAATGTTAGAATTGGAGGTATAGATAGATAAAAAGACGACAAAATATAAGTATATCTCTAGATACGAGTAACTGTAGCGCTAAGAAGAACTTGGCCGTAAAATTCAAGTCTCATCTCCCTCGCGTCGGTTACAGTCAAAATTCCTCTTACTTTATATTATACATGCCGCCGATTTCCCCGTATTTTCGTCTCATTATTTCAGTCTCGACAGTAGCCGCGGTCGTTCGCACGGCCGTCGCGATCTCGTTCACTACCTGCAATAATCGGCGATGCAATCACCTCGCGCGGCATTTCGTATAGCGTTACTAATTGACGCATATTTTAAGGCAGGCCGAAATACCGCAAAGTGTGCGGTCGTAAACTTAAAAATTCGGTGTATAACAAGGCGGGCAGGCCATTGAATGTAAAAAGTAAGAAAAGAGTCGCGTAGATTCGTTAACGCATGGAAATTCGATAATAGCTGCGTTCAGCATTGTAAATCGAAGACGTCGGATTGCTCTTTTACCTCTAAAATGCACAGAAGTGAGAGAGATATGAGATCTCGTATCTTTTTCATTTCTATGCAATCCGATATCTTCGATTTACAATGCCGAACGCAGCTAACATCGGTAACAGAATTATATCAACAACACATCGACGACGGAGTTTCCCTCGGCTAGCAGGTGAAAAACTTTGTAAACACGAAACTCGCGCGCGTCAGCCTTGATGTTTACACTCTCGCGCGCTCCACACAGTCGCGGTCCTCGGCTTGTGTGTTTATCATGAAAAAGCGTCGTGCGGAATTGCGCGGCTGGGCGAGATGACTGCCGCAACTAGTCTGTGTACGTTACCGCGATACGATCGGACGCGTTGAGATCCTTCTCGAAGCGAGTAGGGAAGTTACGCTTCGACGGCGCGAGGATCCACGGATGCTCGAGGATCTCTCGGACGGTGATCCTCTCGTGAGCTATCGGTATGAGTAGATGGTTTATCAGATTTTTGCATTCGGTCGACGTCTGACACATAGTCTTCTCCTGCGTCGACGTCAGGCCTTTGTTGATCTGGACCATCAGCCTTCGTCGACGTTTCTCCGACGATGTCCACTCGTCGCGAGGACAGACGAACGGCAATCGGCCGGTGATCATTCCGTACAAAACGACTCCACTGCAAAGCGTGTTTCTTGTCTTAAAAAATTGTCTGGCGAAGTGACTGCCAATACGCTAATGACTATAATTAACGACTGTTCGTACACATAAGAATTGGTGGTATTAAAACAAAGTCGAATCGAAACAAGGATATTGCTATTGGCTCGCGTTAATGATTTAGGTTCGTATTAATAGTCGTTACTTGAAATTCATTTTACATGAAATATTCAAATCTGAATTTAGAGTTAGATGAGAGTTTTTTATTTGAATTATATCACACATGTGAAATTACATTTGCAATCGCAATTTAGCTGAGAAACTCAGATCTAACTCTAAATTAAAATCTGAGTATCTTATCTGAAGTAAGTTTTAAGTAATGACTATTAATACGGACCTTAGTGTGTTAATTAGTGAATAGTGAACTAGTGTTTTGTGTGTATTTCGGCGACTTGAGCTCGGCGATCGCGCTACTTACAGACTCCACAAATCTACCTCCGGACCGTATCGTTTGCCTACGACGAAGAGCTCGGGGGCCGCGTATTCCGGGGAGCCGCAGTGCGTTTGTAGAGGATTTTCGCTGGAGTAAATGTTGCTGAGGCCGAAATCTGCAAGAAATACGTCTGTCATCGAACCGGGGTGAGTGCTCTCAAAGAAAAGATTCCCGAGATCTCTCGATCGCTGTTGAAAGTTTCAGTCGCGCTGCCACCGTGGCAGTCAATTTCGATCGGAAAGATCCCGATGCATAATGGATTATTCATTATGAATTTATAGAATAATATTCCGCGCGGTGAGAAATCGGCAAGCATGACGTCGACGTCACGTCCCTACGATTTTTATTTCAATTTTATCAGAAATCACGGGAGATTTGTGTGCGCGACAAAAAAAGATTTTACTGCCACGGTTAATCATAGTTTGTTGAAAATGTGTTCGTTGAAAATTTGCTGCAGCAACTGAAACTTTTGCTACTCTTGCCACTGCATCGGTTTCATAGCAACATAGCTGAAAGAAAAAGCATCTAAAAAGTAAAAAATTTATTCGGTGTTGTGAACACTAATATCACATCTATCATATCTAAATTCTTTTATTTAAATAGAATATAATAATTGCTTTCACGAAAAACTTTTGAGAAAATGTTGTATTTTCTTATCTGAAAAATATTTTATATATTAAAATAAGTAAATATGCTATCACACACATGGTGTACCTACTGAGTAAATATTTTTTATTCTTTAGATTTCTTTTCTCTCAATGCAGATATGCGCTTACTAGCAGCTATATTTTTAGGTATCAATATGTTACATCGAAATTTAGTTGCCACGTGTAGATTCTTGCTGCCGTAGCTAACTTTTTTCGTGTACTCGAAGTACAAGACCGCCAAGTGTTCCGCATTGGCGTTCGCTGCTTTTTGCAAAATATCTGCATTGTGATCGGGGCTTGAGTGCCATGCAGCGGCGGTCGAGGGGAGAGGGGAATATTAAAAATAACAGGGCATTATGTTCCGGCGTAATTATACGAGTTGCGGCCAATTTTATCGCGGGCGCAATTTTTTATGCGAATTTTTGTCGGACTCGAGCGGATCTGATTTCACGCTCGAAAATCTCGGACGTCACGCGAGCGGGCGTATTATAGCCGCGATTTTCGCGGTGTGCACGCTAATCTACGCGGCTCGATCGATGGCGATTGTAATGGCAATCGCCACGGCCGTAACGTTTCTTTCGCGTCCCATGCAAGATACATCGTGCACACGTGTGTGTGTGTGTGTGTGTATGCATCTGCCTCTCACCCACTATCTTGATCTGTTCCTTGCGCTCGTCCTGCAGTACGATGTTCTCCATTTTAAGATCTCTGCAACACACATAGAATCGTTCAGTCTTTTTTTTTCTTTCTTTAATATAACCTAAGATTTTTAAACAACCCAAGATGCGACTAACTTTTGGAAGTACAATCAGTGTATTTTTCACTGAAATGCTATATTTATAACTGGTGGCTCAGTTATAAGTATAACACTGTAATCAGTAAAATTTCGCTGAAAGGATCAATTAATAGTAGCGACTGTTCCTATTATTGATGTAATTTGCAAACACAATGACAAATAGTGTGCATTGCACGCAAACCGGACGGAAGCCATTAATTTCATTGCCATAAATGTAAAAAGTTGAATTTAGCACAAAGTATATACTTAGAGAAAAAATATCTGAGAAGTAAAAAATATTTATTTGATGGATACCAATATTTACCTGTATCCAAAATTTTTCGTTTGGATAGAATAATCGCTTTCATGAAAAACAATGATTCTAGGGAAATATTTTCTCAACGAGAAAATGTATATATTAGTATAAATAAACGTATCATTGAATAAACGTACCAATAAATATTTTTCTATTTTCTAAATGTTTCTTCTTAGTGTACATAACGAATTTGCATACTATAGATTTTCCAGTGAAATTTTACTTCCACTGACCAAAGTCACTGAGAAGTAAGATAGAGTGGGAATATTTTTTTACTGAAAATCCATTGTATATGACTGACTATCGGCGAAATACTCCTTTTGCTGATTCAGTCAGAAACATCTTTGTTGATTCACTTGAGGAGAGCGTGATGGAGATGCAAAAAAGACACACATCCTGCACCTTCGGCATATTATTCTAACGATCTCGCGATTACGATTTTTCGCGAGTTGATCCGATCGTGTACCGTCGACGAGAGCGGCGACCGATCGCCTAGGCCGGTGATTGCGCGGGCACATGCGAGAAAAAGTCCGGGTCGTGCATATGCAAGCGCACGACGCCCATGGGCAACATGCGTGTGCAGTTTGCGATCACGTAGCGCGTTCGCGAGATTAACGCTCTCGGCGCAAGAACCTCACGTGGCCCTGACCATCGCGCAAAGGTTTCTCTGCTCATATCGCCGTCTACGACCGCAGCTCGCGGACCGTGGAAATTGTCGTTTCGTCGACGCGACGACGCTGCACGGGGTGGTGTCGAGTTCCCTCGATTTCCCGATTTCTCTTTCACGCTCCCTCGGAGCCGGGAGCCGAGGCCGTAGACCGTCGAAATTTCGTACGCACAGACTGCACCTCGCCGTCCATTTAGATTTATCCGCGTCTTCGTCAGCGCCGGCGTTGCGCAAACAAATCTCACGAGTAAGAGATCGTTCGCGGCGTCCGTTCGAAAATAAATAGCGCGATGAAAGAGGTAATCTCTCATTTCGGCGGTGAACACACGTTCCCTTCACACTTGTGACTCGGTGTGGGTGATAGTCGAATGAAACATCATCTCCAAACGGTAAAGACGAGACGAGACGAGCGACGTTAACGTTAGTTTCGAGACACTGGGTGTATACAAAGTGCGGGGGGAATCGGCGCGTTTAGCTCGAACGTTCGCCAATTATGGAGGCGTCGATAGCGGGATGATAGCTTCTATCTAAGGCCCAGCTGTCACCGGGATCAGCCGGCAACGGCCCTGTAGCTTATCCGTGGCAGAGACCTTGGGACCTTGAAACGCATCATTAAAATCGCATCGCCGCGCGCGTTCATGAGAGAGAAAGAGAAAGAAAGAGAGAGAGAGAGAGAGAGAGAGAAGCCAGCGTGCGCTTTGGGTGTCGCTAATAAGTAATAAAAGAGAAGACTCGCTCCTCGGAACACGTGCCCGCGGCGAGGTTAATACCGTCGCGGGATGCGAGGCGCGCCGGGGTCGTTACTCGTTGGCAGAATCTAGAACGTTCAGAACTTTTGTTTCTTTCCTGGTCCGTCGCTGGTCCGCACCTTCCATCGAATTTCGACTCGCAATTCGGATCACGCGGAACGAAGCGAGGACGAATCGCGAGCAACGACGCGTGATGTTAATTTAACGATCGCGGGTTTATTCCCTCGTTTGTTAGCCGTCGCATCTAATCGAACAATGCAAAAAGATCGTGTCAAACATAAAAATTCGGCACGAAAGTATCGTTAATTCAACCAAACTTTTTTCTCCATGTAAAATAACCGAAGTTTATTCCGTGATCCTGATTAAGTTGATTCCAATCAGTTATCTGGTTTGTACGAGGTGATGTTATCGAGTTCTAATTATTAATCCTACAGTCGTCGCATGGGGTCTTTAAGAGAATATTATATCCAAAATCTTTTTTTATATTTTACATGAACCCAAAAACCTAATTAAACAAAGAAAATATTTAAGTTCTCAACATGAAAGATATAAAATAATTTTTTATATTGGGGTCTCTCAAGATCCCATGCGTCGACTCGTGTTCGAAAAGTAGCGCGACGACTGTAGGATTAATAATTCTTATTGTTAATAAGGTCCTGATTACCACATGAAATGCATTACATGATTTATCAGGGCTCGATAACATCATCTTACACAAAGCAAATAACTGATCGGGATTCCACGGCATGGGATAAATTTCGAGTGTAATTAGTCCGATATATCGAAGTATCGCGAGTGTCTTGGCTAGTTTCGAGTGAAGGCATCGCGCGGTCGAGCGATGTGCTTCTGCTGCATCCTCGACTGCGGGGATAATAGTCGAAACGACCCTGAAGCCGAGGCCACGGTTGTTCGTTGGCCTGGGCGATTACGTTTCTTTTACATCGTCGTAGGAGCCGCGCGGCAGCGCGCGGTCTGAGAGAAACGCGCGCGTTCACGACGAATTTTCGCGACAAATCGCGCGGAGAGAGAGAGAGAGAGAGATCCGATTAAAGCTCGCGCATGCTCTCCCTTTCTCTCTCTCTCTCTCTCTTTCTCTTTAGCGCGCACGTGCGCTCGTCCTGTACGCGCTCGCAATCGCGAGAGCATAATTGCCGGTGTAAAGCGACAGGTGGTCGTGGACATGATAAAAAACAAGAAGAGAAATGAAAAATAAAATATGCCCCGCACGCCGGGGCCGTTAACGATCATCGCTCTCGTCCCTCCTCTCGCCACCTCTCACTCTGAAAATAAACTCGCGCGGCCCGTGACAAAAGTGATCGATGAACGCAACGATCCAGATATCCCCGCTGATCCACGGGCGAGCGCGCGACGAGCGAGATTCGCTCGGGTGCGGCAAGATGGAGCCATTAGTCGCATTCGCAATTCGTGCTGGGAGACGCGCCGGGCACGAGCCGTTCTCTCAAAAATAAACGGGAAAACCGAGCTGTTTTCAACGTATAAAACTTATTTCTTTTTCTTTTTTCATTAGTAACGCTTGACGTTATTAATAGCGCTAAACACGCTAAACACGTTGATGCGCAGCATCAGACTCCCTCGACTGTGAGTAACAGCAAATTGTGTCTATTTCGGGGAAAGGAGCTGTGCGGTGCGTCGCAAATTTACCTACTCCGCGATATGCAAATTCCCTTAACTGAATTCCCCGAGACGCTTCGCGGACCTACTTACTAATTGACGATGGTTCCACGCGCATTGCCGTTTTCGTCCGCGCGAAACCGATAACATCGTTTGCTCTAAATGCTCCCGCGATCCCACACTCATCTCCTCGCGCTCTCATGGACATTCAAGTCATACGCCCGATACGATGCAGGAGCGATGCACTCGGGCGGTTCGCGCGCACCTCTGTAAGTACTTAAATTTAATCGCTGGCCATGACCGTTACATCGTGCGGCAGTTATTTCGGTCTTAATAACCCGGGCCCGACGCAGTCGCTCAGTTGAGCGGGGTCATGTCCGTGTTACGAGTCGCGAAGTCGCCACGAAATATACCAGCAAGGTCGAGGCGGAATTGTGGCGTCGGCTCGAAGGAGAAAGAAGTCGCACGAACGAGCGATTTATGCCTCCGTCCGCGCATAAATATTCGACGCGCGGCGCCACATTGATACGCACGCGCCGCGGAATAATAGATAACGAGATATTTGGGATGCGACGCTCGAGGCGAGGTTTTAATAAACCTCGTCCGATGCGCCCGGACCAGGCCGATAAACCGGTTCGCGCGTGACGCGTGCGGAAAATAATCCGAGGAGAGTTCGGCGGAAAAAGCGTGTAAACATGCTCGCACCTTCTCGCGTGTCACATGTATTATCCGCGGATTATGCGCGCTCGGAACGTACGGCGCATCCCGGAGGAGATACGTGTCTCCAGTATGTTAATTTTGAGGAGAGAGAGAGAGACAGAGAGAGAGAGAGAGAGAGAGAGAGAGAGAGAGAGAGAGAGAGAGAGACTCTTGGCGAATTTTGACTCTTTCGTCCGGAGCGCCGAGCGGGTTCATCGCTCCCTCCCTACAGTCTCATATTCAAGATTAGATTGACAAAAAAGTTTCGTGTGAAGTATTAACTACGCGTTTGATACTCGGATTTTGACAAGCGCGTTTATATGTAAGGCTGTATTAACAGTTATTACTTGAAACTCGCCTCAGATATAGATTTGAACTCAGAATCAGATGAAAGTTTTTTCAATTAAATCGCGACTATAGATACAAATGTTAAGTAATTCAACTGAAAAACTCGGATCTAACTCAGAACAGAAATTTGAGAATCTGACGTGAGACAAATACCAAGTGATAACTATTAATACAGGCTTTAAGCGAAAATTAATAATTTTTTTTTTTTGTAATTTTGAACTATACGGAATAATGACAGAAATTATTATATACTTTCTTAAAAATAATTAATCTTTTGCTAGAAAATTATTGTAATTATTTGAATATTTTTTATATCGTGTACTATCGTCAATTTTATAATGATTTATATTTTCAATATACAATAATTTACATTTTCAATATAGCCCAGATTTGCAAGAAAACATTGTAAAAAGAAAGAAATGCAACTTAATTTTTACTACAACAATTTCTCCGCGCAATTATTCGCGTATTGTTTGGTTTCGAACGTAAAGCGTGTCGTGGAAAAGAAATGTGTCTGGCTTA